TAAATTGTATTATATTTGTAAAAAAAAAATAGATGTAATTAATATGCCTTCGACATCTAAAAAAGCTAGATGTGAACATAAACGTAGATTGACCACTGATAACTTCTATAATAGTGTTGACTTGACTAGACAATTGCTCATAGTCCATATTAAGAAATAACCGAATAGACAATCTCTACTTGTCAAAGAAACTAAAAACATCGTGAAATGGTCAGTATTTACAGTCCTGAAGTAATATGTGTGACCAATGCAGAGATAAACGAGATATATACATGATATATTCAGAATTTCGTTGTCAGAGGGTTAGAACTAGATCAAGAAGAGGATTGATTTTTAAAAAAGTAATTGATTAATATAATAAATATAAATGTGGTATACACTTACGTGAACAAATGCTGAGCTATTATTCATGTGAACATATAACATATTTCTTATATAACAGTGGATATCAAAAGAAGATTTCCCTTTGCGATTTTAAACTTTCAGTCAATGAGAGTCTTTAAGGATCAAATTCCAAGTACCTACCTATTAAAAAACTGGTAGTCCACCATTTATATTAAAATTTTCCAAAAACTGTTTTACGAAAAACTAGGTGCTGCAAATTGGTGTGTAAAGGGGTAGTGAAGCGCAATACATGATGTCGTATCCTGTTGGCATCACTTAGCCTCTCCTACTCAATTCCTATCTTCACCTCCAAGCTGGTACACACCGGTAACCTGAGCAACCCCACTGGAGACTGGGTAACCAACCCCAGTGGATGGTGGGGTCAGGGCAGACGAAGAAGGGAGCCTTGGTCCTCCGATGAAAAGGGGGTTGAGCGAAGGGTTAACAACCCTTCCTTGTAGAACTCAATTGTTGTGAATACAATGGCTAATGAAACAAACGGACGGATATCATAACAACGAACTCAGTACAGAAAAATGGACATGATTATGGATTTAAAATTTGGAACCCGGAACGTGCGAACCTTCTTAAAGGCAGGAGCTATGTTAAGTATGGCAGAAGAACTTGAAAAATACGGAGTTGAAATATTGGCACTGCAGGAAATCAGATGGAAGAGCCAGGGAGAAATTCATAAGAATTAATTCTCACTATACTACTTCGGAAATGAAATGAGACAAGGTAAAAGATGAGTAGGATTTATAATAACCAAAAAACTGCGGAAAGCCATTATCGTATTTACACCAATATCAGATAGAATTTGCACCATAAGATTTAAAGGTAAATTTCATAACGTGACAATGGTTAATGTATATGCACCGACGGAAGAGGCTGATGAAGAAGACGTTGAAAGATTCTACGGAGAACTACAGGATGTATGTGATAAAATCCAAAGACACGATGCTGTTATAACGTTAGGCGATTTTAATGCTAAACTGGGGAAAGAAGAAACGTTTGCAAATATATTTGGGAAACACAGTTTGCACACTGAAACCAGTCAAAATGGACTCAGGGTGGCACAGTTCGCAGCAGCAAATAATTACGTAGTTGTCAGTACTAACTTCCAGAGAAAAGATATCCATAAAGGAACATGGAAAATACCAGGAACTAACGAAGCCAATCAAATTGACCATATACTCATCTCAAAAAGATGGGCAACAGACATAACTAATGTCAGAACGTATTGCGGGGCGAACTCTGACTCAGATCACTATCTTGTAGGGGCAAAATTACGGCAGAAAATAGCGACAGTAGCAAAAGGGAAAAATATTCAAATCAAAAAATGGAATGTCGAAGAATTCAAAAGTGCAACAAAGAGACAAGATTACAGAAATGCTCTCCAAATAAAACTCAACCGAACTAGAGAGGAAGATACTGCAGAGGAGGAATGGAGACAATTAGAAACAATTATAACAGAGTCAGCAGAGGAAACTGCCAAAAGGCAAAGTAATGCGGAATGGTATGATGATGAATGCAGAACTGCAGTAGAGGAAAAAAGGCAAGCTAGGCTTAACCAACTTCAAAGAAACACAAGAAATAGCAGTGAGATTTATAACGAAAAAAGAATACAAGCGACTAGAATATGCAGAAGAAAGAAAAGAGAGGCTATGAAAAAACAAGTACAAGGAATCGTAAAGCATAACAACAGACGCGAAAGCAGAAAATTCTATAAATGCATAAAAGAAAGCACACAGCCATTTAGACCAAAACTAACGATATGCAAAGACAAGGACCGAGAACTACTAACAGATAAGCAAAAAATTATAATGAGATGGAAACAATATTTAGAAGAAAATCTAAATGCAGACAACGAAAATGATCAGAACGAGACAATATATTATACGGCCGAGCAGCACATCGAAAATCCGAGTTATGAAGAAGTAGTTCAGATAATAAATAAACTAAAAAACAATAAAGCACCAGGAACGGACGGAATTTCGGCAGAATTATTAAAGCATGGAGGATCCGAACTCTGGGAAAGAATCCATTACCTAATAACATTAATATGGACGAAGGAGCAAATGCCAGAGGAATGGACAGTTGGCCTCATATAGCCAATATATAAAAAAGGAGATAAGAGGGAATGCCAGAATTATAGGCCAATTACATTGCTAAGTAATATACAAAATTCTTTCTGGTATAATCTACAATAGATTATTAGAATACTCCGAAAATATAATTGGTGATTATCAAAATGGATTCAGACTAAATATAGCCACTACAGATAACATATTCATACTAAGAACGATACAAGAAAAAGCTTATGAATACGACATAGACCTATATAATATGTATATAGACTTTAAACAATCTTTTGATAGTGTGAAAAGAGACAGAATGCTGGAAGACCTTTATAATCTAGGTATACCTAAGAAATACATCAGCTTCATAAAAATGACGTTGCAGGGTTCAAAAGCCGCAGTCAGAGTAGATGGAGAACTGACTCCCCTGTTTAACATCAACATGGGAGTAAGACAGGGAGATGCCCTATCAACCATGCTATTCAACCTAGTTCTTGAGGCAGTCATCAGAAAAACCAATATAACCGGCCATATAAACACCAAATCAGTACAAATTACTGCATATGCAGACGATGTAGCCATCATTAGTAGGAATAAGCCACGACTAATGAAAGTGTTCAAACAAATTGATCCTGAAGCAAGAAAAAGAGGTCTCAAAATAAACGAAGCAAAAACGAAGTATATGACAGTCAAAAGAATAACTGACAATGAAAATAATATCACAATAGACAACTATACTATCGAACGAGTGGATGCCTTTACATATCTCGGCACAAAAATCAATCAGAAAAACTCTGTAAGTAGCGAAATTAATGCACGTATTTCCAGCGGGAATCGTACATACTATGCTAATAAAAGATTGATGACATCGAAATTATTAGACAAAAGAACCAAAATGACTATCTACAGAACACTGATTTTACCCGTAGTAACCTAAGGATGTGAAACTTGGGTAATGACGAAAAAAGATGAAGCCCAACTTAGGACATTCAAGAGAAAAATACTGAGGAAAGTATATGGTCCGGTACAAGAAGAAGATGGCACATGGAGAATCAGGAGAAACGACGAGGTTAATGAGTTAAATGAAGGTTATGACATTGTAAGATTTGTGAAAAGTCAAAGACTGTCATGGCTGGGACATGTGCAGAGACAAAACGATGCAAAAACAACAAAGAAAATGTTACAATGGAAGCCCATAGAAAGGCGAAAAAAAGGAAGGCCCAGAACGAGATGGTTGGATGACGTGGAAGACGACCTGAAAACAATGAACATAAGACAATGTTGAAGAAGGGCACAAGAGAGCTCTAAATGGAAGGACATAGCCAGACAGGCAAAGACCCATCCAGGGTTATGATGCCAAAAGAAGAAGAAGAAGAAGGTGCTGCAAATTAGTATCAGTTATTCATTCTAATGTAAAAAGTTTTTTATTATTATTTTTTTATTTTTCTTTAAGTATTTTTAACTTTTAAAGCAACAAAAATTTCCACAAATTTTTTTATAGTAAATAAAAAATTATACATTTACATAGTTATTTATTATTTTAATAGAAAACAAATAAACATGAACAGTGCACTGGTAGCATATACAATATATTTTAAATTTAATTTGAAACAAAAAAATTATATTCTACATAAACAAACAAAATTTAACCAAAAATTAATACTAATTTTAAAAAACTAACCGGCACCGTCTGTACATCAACATATTTTATTGGAGAAGAACGTTTTTCTCGTATTTGTCAATTTTACAATAATAATACAATTATTTATCTGTTGCTGCCAGCGGCAAAATTCGTTTCGATCGTTCATTCATAATTTTTCACAATTCTCTGGGAAAAATTACCTGCTAAATTAAATATGCAACCAAACCATAATAATAAATCCGAGAACCCCAAAAACCGGTCGGTAAGGTTGAATGTCGGTCGGTGAACTTCTACTAAAACGGATCGATATGTATGTATCTATGTTTCAAATAAATATATATATTTTGGCAACATCTCGTGATACTGTATTGACGCAAGACACAATGATTTGACCTATAGGGAGTTAAAATGTCTGTTGAATGTAAAAAAATAAATATATAAAAAAATCGATATATTAAAAAACTGACAACAATGTCAAGCCTAAAAAGATACAGTAAACGAATATACATGACTTATAATTTGAATATGATAGTATTTCTTGGTGATGCTAAATTACTGCAACGTGAAAAGAGTTCCAAATGATGGTGGGATGTATATATATATATATATATATATATATATATATATATATATATATATATATATATATATATATATATTCTGTTAGGTTGTGTTATTTGTCTGTTTATCAATTTTAAATCATCAGTATAAATGCTTTGAAGACCTCCTTCTATATAATCCTAAATTTTCTTACAAAAGCTGGTTAATTATATTCGCACCTGTCATCAAGACAGTGGGTATTCTACCCCTTAAAATGTTCCAAACAGTTCAATCAGAAAAAATTCCGATAATTTTGTATTGCATGTAGCCTGTTTTATTATTTGATATTGTTCTAGGTTCCCAGTACACTATGGACGTTTCGGCGCTACAAAAAATGCTTGCTGACGATGTAGCTACCGGTCGAATGCCTCTCATAGTTATTGCAGATGCGGGCACGCCTGTAACTGGCCATATAGATAATATTTCTAGGATTAGGGAGCTTTGTAAAGTGCATGGGACTTGGCTACATGTCCGAGGACACAGTGTAGCTGCTTTGGCTTTGCCAAATTATAATCAGCGCAATGGGACGGTAAGTTATTTTTTAGGTTTCATTCATGCTTCTTAAAGTCCTAGGTTTTCACTCGACGTGACAGAAAGTAGACCTGGAAGTACATATTTGAACTCATGTAACTTTGCGTCGCGTTGATTGATATGTTAAAAAATATTAGATTTTAGTTCTCGGTTACACAACCTCGAACAAAAATAATACTTTTTTTATTTAGTACAATAAATATCTATTATTATTAACATAATTATAATGTATGGTTAACAAACGGAAAATGTGAAAGAAACTAAGAATGTGTGACTTATGGAATGATTATTTAACGTTTAAATATTGTAGTTACTTAGATGCAAATAGATCATCAAAAAAGAACATGTGTATTATATTTTGGAAAGAAAGTATTTTTCAATGTAATTTCATCATATGTATTTTGAAACTTACTTTTAAACTTTTGAAAATAAGATATCATATTGAATTTTATTTGAATATTTTAGGTTCCTCCAATAGCTGACAGCTTGACTTTAACTTTAGGAAGTTGGTTGGGAATTCCAGGACTGCCTATGATTGTATCCTTTTGAACATTTAGTTTTGTGATTATATTTCTTGATATCAAGATACAACGCATTGTAATTATTTACGGGAGGCCTATGTCCAGCAGTGGACTCAAAACTGATGATGATGATTTTTTGATATAATTTCTATAAGAAATTGTAGTACACAGCTTACTTAATTCGAATTGTTCGAAGTTTAAGATAATATTGTAGTCTTCTGGCTGCATATTGGTGACATTCCGTGAGAATATGTTTGATTGTCAAGTATGATTGACAACTTAAAGTGGAAAGACGGGTGCTAGAAGGCATCAGGTAGACATGGGTTAGTTTTTAATGGCCTATGCTAAGTCTTCTTATCACTATCTCGTCTTGAGAGTCCTGTATAGCCAAATGTAGGACAACTGTCCATCAAACCTTGTATATCATATAGGACTAAGTTATTAGTATCCCAGTGCCATTGTAATATAGAGCTGGTTCTTAAAAGAATATGATCACTTTTACACTAAAAAGCGCAACACCTGCAGTCAGACTATACTATATGCAGTATACTCTAGCAACCTAAACGCATTTCTCTTGGAGAAATATATTGGATAAGGAGGCCCCATCCCTCCTAAACTATTCACCGCTTTATTATAAAGTGCCATGAGAAACAATAATTGGGAAAATATTGGAGTCAACATAAATGGGGAGTTTCTGAACAACTTGAGATTTGGGGCCGACATAGTGGGCCTCTAACATGAGTTAGAAAATAGGACTTACAATACGGAAAACTGAAAGAAGTCTTTAAATCAGATATTTCCATGTACTTGAAAAAGGAGGTCTTTGATCACTGTGTGCTTCCAGTTCTAACGTACGGAGCAGAAAACCACCCTTACCAGAAAAATACAAGTGGCACGGAGAGCAATGCAGAGGTCAATGTTGAATATAGTTCTCAGAGACAGAGTTTCAAATCAAATAGGAGAAAAATTGGTGTTACGGACGCAAAATAATTACAGCACTGATATGGAACTGGGCAGTCCATATTGCCAGAGTCAGAGCTGTAGAATGAATTAGGAACACTTTAGAATGGAGACCTAAATACGATGCTTATCGTAATCGAGGACATCCCTCCAACAAGATGGTCGAACGATATCAAGCGCGTCCATCACAATTGGATTCCAGATGCCCAGTACCGAAAAAAATAAAGATTTACGACATTTTTTCATGTAGTTTAGCAAACAAAGGTGTGCCACTTTCGAAATCTATATTACATCAAGGTATAAAACTGATACTGTATAATTCCCCGAAGTAGATCAGTTTACTGTTAATTATGTATGTCTTCATAGTCGGAAAAACCCTACGGTGTGCTTGGGGAGGAAAAACTTTTTGCAAGCAGAACTTACACATAACAAGATGCCAATGTATTATAAGAGAGAAAAGTGCGTGGATGCATTCATTTTTATTCACTACCTCTTATCAAAAGTTTTCATTACTTTGGAAAAATATTGCCTTGTGTCTAATAGCAAGCTGAGCTTTTTCCGAAACGATGGAGATCGAATGTGAAACTAACGCTAATGTATTTCTCATTTTTGTAGTAGAAAATACGTTTATCTATTCACATACATGTAACATTTATCATTCGGTAATTTATATAAATAAAAAACTGTAAAGTGTACATCAGATTGAATGAATTTAAAACGGATCATGCAATTTGATATATGTCTGTTTGAACTGCATTTGAAATAGTGGACCAATATAAAACTTGGACAAAAGTAAATCCATACCCCGTGATAGACATTGTATAAAATATCGTTCAACTATCTGTCTCCTTTTAGGACCCACCATAGTCTATAGTCGCAAAGTCGCCCAAAGTCAATGTTGCCAATCGCCGTGTAATAATCCGATTTGCGGATCTTTTTGAGAGTTATATCTTCTTCGTTATAGCTGGAACATAGCTGGAACAAGTATAGAACAAACATCAGCATACAAATATCTGGGACACGAAATTCGCTTAAGTAGAGATAACCAGACCAATGAACTAATACGTAGAATAGGGTTGACATGGGCAGCTTATGGAAAGCTAAGAGATGTTTTCCAATCAGCTCTTCCCATCTGCTTGAAGAGAAAAGTCTTCGATCAATGTGTGCTGCCGGTTCTAACCTATGGTGCGGAGACGCTAACACTTACTAAGACGTCCGCAAACAAAATTCGAACAACACAGAGGGCAATAGATCGGGAGTAACCGACGCAATCAAAAGAATATCAACCTTAAAATGGAACTGGGCAGGGCACGTCGCGAGAACGAAGGACGGCAGATGGACAAAACGCATTCTTGAGTGGAGACCCAGACAAGATGCCTTTAGGAATAGAGGACGACCACCAACAAGATGGACGGATGACCTGAAACGGACACATCAAAATTGGATGCAGGCGGCTCAGGACAGAAATTTGTGGGGTGAACTACGGGAGGCCTATGCTCAGCAGTGGACGAGTATGGGCTGAATGATGATGATGATCTTCTTCGTATCTTTAAATAAATCGGATATTTGCCTATATTTTTCATTGTACTTACCAATCTACTACAACAGACTAATAACAAAAATAAACTTAATGGATTATAGTTATTTCCTTTTCTTGTATTTGGATTTCTTTCCTGTAAATATTTTATGGTTAACACCTTATTAACACCTTATATATGTTTCCAATGAGATTGGCAACACCGCTCAAAATATCCATCTGTGGGAAGCGATAAGTGGTTTGACAGCATAATAAAATCCTAGATTTATGTGTAGCTTTTAATTTTTAATAGGCAACCTATTTGGGTGGAGTTTTGACTTGTTCTTGAATGAGTTCAGCATCCAGCAGCCCGCTGAAGTATTGGATTTTTATAATATAATTATTTGACAACCTTTTGTTGGCCAACCACCTAGAGCGGAGTTGAGCCGAAATACATAATATTTCGTATGTTCCGAATTTATCTCGTTCAATCTGTATAGCTTCTAACATTTTTAATAGTTTGAAATCTCGGTTACCCGAGTCAGATATTTCCCACGTTACCAGGTATAATTAGTACTACTGGATTTGTATTTTTCTTAACATTTTGATAGACCCTCTATAGGTTATGGGGCACTAACAACCCTAATCGCAATAAACAAGTAGGAGTAAGTAGAGAGAGTACGCTTCCAGTTTTAGCAGGTCTGAATACTGATCACCAAAGTAGAAGGATTCTTTCATTACCTCTATGGACGGGATTACAGAAGTTGGGAACGGAAGGTGTGCATTCCAGGATCAAAGAAGATTTCCTGGCTAGTGAAAGGCTGTGGTCCGCATTGGACGTTTTTAGACAAGTTAGAGTATTGGTAAGTTCACAATTATTTAAAATACGCAAAAAAATACGCAAATTCCAATTTTTAATAATAAATCTTTATCTGAGTTAAATATAGTTATTAACTAATCATAACCAGTGGTTTTAAAAAGAGAAATGAATAATTTACTTATCTGATATTTTACTGTAATAATTTATTTCCCATTTTTTATTCTTAGTGCATATGAATATCGCATATATAAGTAGAAATGCAAACTGATTTACTTAAAACATACTGCGATATGATTGTCTTCTTACTGAACTCGACTGGTTCAAGCGTTCAGTTATAGAAAAAATTGAAAAATCATTAGTTATCGATCCGTCAATTCATCGGCATTAATTCATCATCATTAGTTATCGATCAGAAAATTTGAAAGAATAGGTTGCTGTAAAACTCATGGTCTAACGTGACCAATCATAACGTAGTAGGTTTAAACTCAGCAAAATGGCGATATATTCTCTCTTTGTAATTTCTATATTAGACCGAGAAAATAAAGTTTTTGAAATCGAAAAATTACTGGACGCGATTTTCCAGGTGGAAAGTGTTGGGGAAGCCTATGCAAACAGCGTCTCATCTCGTGAGTAACGTTTTTTTGGTTGAAAAATTGTTTATTTTAAACTTTTTTGCAAAAAAGTGGTATCTTTTCGTTCGATTTAATATTGCAAAAAACCCACGAGGGTTGGAGAAAAATGGTCCACAGACGATTTTTTCCTCGAGAACTGACGAAGATTTTAAGACTTGCTAAATTGAAATCCATAAATAAATAAAAAAGTTATTGCAAAATTAGTCCAAAAACATTGTTTTTTACAATTGTTTATAACTTTTTCAATAATGTATAAATTCATTCAAAACTTTATCAAATTATGGGTTTTCAAGTACTTAAACTGTGTGCAAAAGATGGGCGCAATCGGTCGAGTAGTTTTTGCAAAATCCTAATTGTTTATCCCGTTTTTTAAAAAAAGGGTCATTTTTGAATGGACGTACAGCTGGCTGGGTGGCGACTAGGATGCCCATTTTGGGCTCATTTTCTTCGTTTGGTCGTCAACTATCATATACTTAAAATTAAAAAAAATATATTGTAATTTACTTATTGAAAATTGTTAATAAACGAAGTACACTTTTTCGCCTTATAAAGATTTAGAATATCTCGGTTGTTTTTGAATATACAAAATAGCCAAGCATACCATTCGAAAGCTGGTCAAAAAACACACATTAAAAAAAAACTTCCTACGACCAATAGAACCGGAAATAATTTTTTTTCAAAAAATCGCAGGCAAATTGTTTATAAACATTAAGGGCTGAAATTTGGCCAATATTTAAATAAAGACCCAATCTTTAATGTACAATTTATTTCGTTTTTATTTGAACAAACCAAAAGGTTTAAGAGCGCTTCAAAAGAAGTGCTCGAAAAAAAAACTATAAATTCTGTTCCATGAGTCATCATCGACTTTTACTCATTTGTAAATCGGAAATTGTACTTCAAATTGGACGCGCTTGAAAAAATTGCAATATTTCGGGCTCCAGAAGGGCTAGAACCTTCTTTTTTTTTTAACTGGGGTAGCTCGTCGAGAGAAACTCAACTGGCATATTTTCACCCCCTATAAAACTACCCCCAACCCTCCAAAAATTCATTTTTCATAATTATTTTTTTTATATCGTTTTTTTATTACTATTTTTATACATATGCTTAATAACACATTTATTACTTCTAGGCATTATATCTACCCTTCAGTTCACACCCCCCTCTGTAAAAAAGAAGGTTCTAGCCCTTCTGGAGCCCGAAATATTGCAATTTTTTCAAGCGCGTCCAATTTGAAGTACAATTTCCGATTTACAAATGAGTGAAAGTCGATGATGACTCATCGAACAGAATTTATAGTTTTTTTTTTTCGAGCACTTCTTTTGAAGCGCTCTTAAACCTTTTGGTTTGTTCAAATAAAAACGAAATAAATTGTACATTAAAGATTGGGTCTTTATTTAAATATTGGCCAAATTTCAGCCCTTAATGTTAATAAACAATTTGTCTCCGATTTTTTGAAAAAAAAATTATTTCCGGTTCTATTGGTCGTAGGAAGTTTTTTTTTAAATGTGTGTTTTTTGACCAGCTTTCGAATGGTATGCTTGGCTATTTTGTATATTCAAAAACAACCGAGATATTCTAAATCTTTATAAGGCGAAAAAGTGTACTTCGTTTATTAACAATTTTCAATAAGTAAATTACAATATATTTTTTTTTTTAATTTTAAGTATATGATAGTTGACGACCAAACGAAGAAAATGAGCCCAAAATGGGCATCCTAGTCGCCACCCAGCCAGCTGTACGTCCATTCAAAAATGACCCTTTTTTTTAAAAAACGGGATAAACAATTAGGATTTTGCAAAAACTACTCGACCGATTGCGCCCATCTTTTGCACACAGTTTAAGTACTTGAAAACCCATAATTTGATAAAGTTTTGAATGAATTTATACATTATTGAAAAGTTATAAACAATTGTAAAAAACAATGTTTTTTTGGACTAATTTTGCAATAACTTTTTTATTTAATTATGGATTTCAATTTAGTAATTCTTAAAATCTTCGTCAGTTCTCGAGGAAAAAATCATCTGTGGACCATTTTTCTCCAACCCTCGTGGGTTTTTCGCAATATTGAATCGAACGAAAAGATACCACTTTTTTGCAAAAAGTTTAAAATAAACAATTTTCCAACCAAAAACACGTTACTCACGAGATGAGACGCTGTTTGCATAGGCTTCCCCAACACTTTCCACCTGGAAAATCGCGTCCAGTAATTTTTACGAATTTCTAATCATTTTATATCTCTATTTCTTGGTCTATATTCCCATGTGATAGTCTCTCGTACTCATGTCAAACATTTCGTGTTACCACGTTCTGTTAAAGTATATTTGTTTGATACTGGCAGCTCATTGCAAATGCAAATCTTCAATAGGGGTTAATCGTTATCGTCAAGGTCATAAACCATTGCCGTACGGATGTAGTTGAAACCAAAAAATAAGCTTTTTTTTAATTACGAGTTATGCATTAATTTGTTAAGTTACATATACTTTAAAACAAGACCCATGGAATTAAAAATTCTTAACACTAATAACAATATGTAAATAGAAAGCACGAATTTTATAAAAATTGTATCTTAGGCAGATAATTACCTATATTTTCTTTCCGCTCTTTAATTTTTTCACGAAGTAACTTCTCTCTTTTAATAGTGGTACTATTTTTGGATCATAAGGCATATCTATACTATGACATTCATAGAAAACCTTGATCTCATTAGAGGATAATCCTTTGTTAATGACTTTGACGAATTTAACAAATTCTCCTTGGGATACCTGTTTACCTGCCGACCCAGTAAGAGAAAGTTGTTACGAATTTGATACCGTCCGTGTTATCAGTTATCAGTTCAGTCCTTTCGTTAAGATGGCATCATTTCAATTTTTTGCTGCTAAACTTCTCTGAGAGAATATTGTGTTCTCCCTTGTTCATCAACAATCTTTAACAATGGTTAATAATGAACTGTAAAAGAACCATTTACAGATTTTTAAGTGAAAGAAAACAAGGAAACATTGCTGAGCCAAAAAGATAAAAAAACAACACATGGAATTGATGATTGTCATAGAAACGTCTTTCAGCGAAAAGTTCATTCGTTTTATTTAAACAAGGAGATTCCTACACTGGATACAATATTAAAGGCAATAAGAGGTAATAATTTTCTTCACTTTGGTCGAGATGAGTTATGGAAATTACTTTGTTGTTTGTTACAGAAAAGAAAAAAGTTTGTTGGCTAAGGCAATATTTGAAAACGATAAAAAGATTTAGATTCATTATCATTATCAACTAAATCCAATAGAGTTAATATGAACTTAACTAAAAGATGAAGTGGCCAGAAAAAATACAACTTTTAAATTGAAGAATGTCAAATAACTTTTAATAAATTTCATAAAAAAACGCAACGAAAGATAACTGGACCAATGCAGTAAGCCACGTAAAAAAAGAGGAAGAAAGATTGTGGACTGTTGATAATAACATTAAAGAATTTGTCAATCTATAATCATTCCAATCGGACCGGACAACGAATTTGACACAGAAGAAAAGGAAGAAGTGGAAATCCATAATTTATGATTTATAATAAATCAGTAATTTTTTAATATAAGCACATAGCTTAACCCTTCACTGCATGATTTTTTTTTGGTTTTGGTTACAATAAAAAGTTAGTAGACTGAATTTTCGTTATTTTTACGGGAAAAAATAAGTGTTGCTTATGAACATTGTGCTAAAGGATATACTTAAAATAATATTTAGGAAAAAGGAAGTTTTTTAAAACAGTTCTTTATTTTAGTGAAGCAAAGTGCTACACCACACTTTTCGCACAACGCATGTGTATAGCCATTGCTCTGTGGAAATTTGCGCCTTATTTGTTTTACGGACCATACAGGCCAATGGTGAATTCCATCCCTTCGAACATCCTTTAGTCGAATAACCTGTGCTATGCCTTTTCTCTTCTTTATTTGTAGCGCTTCCTCATTTTCGCTTAGTGCTAATGAAGGCTCAGTATTCCGACCTCTTTCTTCAAAGGTAAGGTGTTGAAAAAGGCATCAATCACCCTGAATTAGAGAACGACAAATTGTTGCAAAATGTTACTTTATGGTGGATATCACAGCGAAATTAAATGAGCTGAATCTAAAGCTGCAAGGAAAGCGAAACCCCAACCAATGTTTTGGTGGAAGAATTGGTTTGTTTTGAAGAAAAATTAATTCTTTTCGCAGGAGATATTGCAATATCGCGATAAAACCAGTGCAACTGTTGACACGAATTACTTCAGCACAGTTACAAAAAAAAATTAAAGATGAATTTGCTGGCAGATTCGAACAATTCAAAACCAACAAAACTACTTTAGCAATCATAGTAAATCCTCTCAACCACAGCCACCTTTACTTCCAAGCCATGAAGTAAAAAAGGCAACACCGCATTCTATGACGTCGGTAGTCCGATAATCAGCTGTAAGGTCTACCAGAATATTAAACTAATTTGAATTTTAGAAAACTGATATTTTGAAAACTTCAATTCATTACAGAAATATTTTTAGGGAAATTAAATTAATAAAATCTTATATATACCTAGTAAATATATATAAAGTTTTATTATTATTTAGGTTATATTATCAATAAAATAATCACTAGAGTAAAATTTATTGCACTTAAAATACAGTGTCAAACAGTTAATCTTACAATCAAATGCAGTCAAGAATCTCTAGAAATTTTAAATATTAAGTACTTAAGCATATAAACAACACAATACATTAACACGACATTTAAAAAGATTATTAAAAATACAAAAGATATAAAATTTGTGCTAAGTAAAAATTTAGTGTAACTATTATGATTAAAAAATTCATCCTAAGAAATCAGACACAATATAAATATGGTTCTAAATTAATCTAATTGAAAATTAAATATTTTACTATTTACTTATAACTTTTGTTGAATTTTCATACTTAGCAGATATACAAAAGTAGCAATTTTAAATATGAATAGGTTTGTTGTCATATAGACCAAGTTAAAAGAGGTATACATGAAAAATGTGTTGAATGTAACACACCATTTATAACTTGTATATCAATTTAAAATAGCCTATATTCTCAAAAGATTTTTGAATGTGATACTCAAATTTGTTATCACTTATCTAAAAAGCAGATCTAATCGAGTAAGTAAGTTCTCTAATTGTGACCATCTTGTTAGTTTACTAGGTATATTGTAAAATCCATTTCAAATCATTACCACTTAATCTATTCTTACCTACATTGACGATTACACTAAAATTACTGCTAACTATTACACTACATATTACACAAATATTATCACACTTGTGTCCCAACTGATTAATGTTTAATACATAGAAATATACACAGTCACTTGTAATTTTACTTGTCCAGTTTTTCAATGGGATATTATTGTCTAAGTCTAATTGACATAATTAGGTATGTTATCTCTTGTTCCCTCTTCTTATGCAAAAAGTTTCTTCTGTCTTCGGGATTCCTTCTTTCTTTAGTATGATGAACAGTTACATATGATGGTACTTCAGGAAATATATTAGGAACTGCATTGCCTTTTAATTTGGGAAATATTAACTTTTCAATGTGTACATTTCCATCTTTATCTTCTCATTGTTCAGTCCGCTGAATACCATCTTCATGAAAAAGTTTGGCACATACTCCGGAAGATTTGGTAATTGTACAGCCTTCTCTATGAATAGAGATTGGTTTTGCAACCAGGTACACAACAATGCCAGAGCATCTGTAACAAAAAACAAAAGTATTATTATTGTTGTTTTTAGTTTACATATTTTGTAACAAGAAGCAAAAGTATTATTATTTTCAGTTTGTTTTGTAGGTTATATTTATACTTGCCTGTCGTTAAGAATCTTCTAAAAGTTCTAAATTTAATGAAATTTCACTTATATTAATATTTTCTAATTGATTTAAACACAATTTACAAATAAAACATTCGAATAAAGTTAAAAAAACAATAAATTCATCAAACTTTACAAGCCTTCCTATATGAAATGTTAAACCAAAACAAAACAAACCACAGTCGGACTACCACGCGTTGTTGCCAAATTTCTACTTCATGGCTTGGAAGTAAAGGTGGCTGTGTCTCAACACAAATAGTAACGAAATTCACGTTGAGCCATTTGGAATTCATACTGGATCTTTAGAAATGCTTTTGATCGATTTAAAAAGTAAAGCTTTCTGGAGTGGAAAATTTACAGAATTGACAAGCAAGTTGGAAGTCCAGAAATGTATGTACGTAACGCAAAAAAAGTGGACAGCTTTGAAAGTAATGCCGCGAAATGAGGGACTTACATTCGACGCATGGAATAGTCTTCCAGATTGCTACAGTGAGGTGAAGAAATTGACATTTGGAGTACTAACTATCTTCGGATCGACATATTCTTGCGAGCAAGCGTTCTCTTGCATGAATATAATTAAAAGTAAACAGAAGCCAAAAAAAATGAAAATTTATAGTCGTGATTGAAACTTAAAACAACAATATATTATGAGCCAGATTTATCCAAACTTTCTAAAACCATGCAAAACCAACGCTCCCATTGAGAGTATTTGCTCAACTGTTTGTTATTGAAGTGCAAGTTAGTGTAGTTACTGAATATTTAGTTGCTTTAATTTTTTACTCCAATAAATCAAATGTATGAAAATATATATGTGAAAAACACTATATACCTACATATGAATAAATAGATTAATTTTTTGTATCAAAGAACTTTATGCGAGTACTATTTATTGTTGACAAAAAAAATTGTGGCTCTGTAAAAACTTTAAAATTTTGTAAATTTTAATTTTTGGCTCTACCGACTCAAAAGGTTGCCGACCCCTGGTCTACAGCATTCTCGTCCATTTCGTTCACTGGTGGTTCAGAATCCTCATTATCAGACTTATCATATGTACCAACATATTCGTCAGGTAAGAAATCTGGATCGACAATATCATCATCGTCAAACCCATCTTCGCTATCACAAAGCTTATCAATTATAATATCGGCAGGTTTCTTGTCATTCAGCGGCCTTTTATCTTTCCAATTCATGATGTTTTATCTAAAAGATTAAATTTACTAGATATACATGATGTTGTTTATAAACAACATTATGAGAAATCATGCATTTAACGGAGCATAAACCCCAAGAAATCATGCGTTTTACTTACCTTATTAATAACACGTAAAATATATGTACTCAAAGTACTTTGGTAAAATATAACAAAAAAAAACTGAAGCACGTATCATCGTTTAATAGGACATCCACTACCCATGGACATATAAACACTACCTACCTAAGAAGACACAATACTGGTACACCATCTATGATTGTTTAGTCTATTTACGCCGGTGCTCACTCCATTGTTAGTGAACAACGTCACGCACAAACTGATTCATCTTTATCTGCATTTAAAATAAATGTTTATTTTTAGTATGTTGTTTTTAAACAACATGATACAATGAAGGATTAAATGTTCGATATTAATTTGAGGTATCCGCTTTAACATTAATTAACAGGATAGGATATTATTTTGAGTTATTTTAGTTTGGTCACTTACCTGCTACTTGCAGATTAGTGAAGATTTGCATTTTTAATGAGCTGCCAGTTGCAGATAAATAAAGTATAGTTGTATTTTCTTTAGAGGGTTTTATTTATCATTTTGTGCAGTATTTTTTATTTCCTCTGTTCCTAATAGTATGTCTATGTTTTGTTCCAACCATGTATATGTTCATACACTGTTGCATCCTCTAATACATATTTCTAGTGTCATTTGATATTTCTTCCATACCAAATGATACAGTTATCCACGTAATGTATTTCTTGATTGCCCACAGTTCTACTTAAAAAAGTTTCGTTTTAATAATTCATTAAATAAATAATTTTTTAGGATGTAATATTTTTATAAAAATCTTATCTTATAAATATAGTTTCGTAGAAATATTTTGGTTGTAGTGGTGCATGATACCGTTAGATTCTTCTCAATTGTTTTGTCTTTGCACTACCGAGGAATATGTTTTATTTATTTGTGTAATGGTTTCATAAACTTATGTTTTAATATATTTTCAGAGTCCTAAACCAGGAGGAGAAAGTGGTACTTACACCGTGGCTGAACTGGTTTCAAAGCCATCCAGTATACCTGTAAGTACATAAATATACTGTGTATGTATCAGATCTGGGTGCCCGTTAAGTACAATGGCTTTAGATCCAGATGTGTGCTGGAGCTTAATTCATCACCGATTTTGCAGAGCTGAGGAAATGTCGTATGGAGATATCCGTTGATCATTTTATTAACAAGCATCATTGCTATTGGATTTGATATGCTCAAGGCAGTTCTAACATATCAGGAAATGTAATTGATTTGTCGTTGCCTTCTATGAACAAGTTGTTTTTATTATCCTTTCGTACGTGAAAGGACACTATACAATTACTTGCAGTGAAAATATTCACATGTGTTAAGCGTTGTATTGTTAATGAAGACAATTTTAATTGAAGGTAATAGCCTATTTGAACAACTAGTGTGGAATCAGCAATATCACTATCAAATCTAATCATATGAATGGTGAGGTATTTTCATCATCATCCATACAATTACCTTAATTTAAATCTCCTTCAACGACTTAAATATTGTCAGCCGCAAATATTGACATGCCTACAATGAAATGAGGATAGATATGGAAAGATATAGACGGAGAAGTTTAAAGAAAAATGAAGTATGTTGAAGATTTACTTATACTGAACATAAGACGGTAAATAAAATACAACCAGATAAGATGTATCGCTTTGGAATGGATAATGCAAAATCATTATTGCTAAATGGATAAAATCCGTAACGGAGTTAACATACAATGGACACAATGTGTGATAGCAATAATGCAAATATAATAACCACCAAATAAGCTTATGTAATAGAGAATATTCGAATATAAGAGATTAAAATGAACACGCAAAATAAGATAACTCAACGGTTTAAAGAAGCATGCTTGCTCATTAAGTTACTGATCTATCTAAATTGCTACTCTCAGTTACGCCCGTTATATCAATTCCGGTTTATTTATTTGTGTACTAATCCTAATTTTAAAAAGTTTATAACCCAACTCTATGTATTTACAGCTTTTGATGGAATCGACAGCTTGTTCGGTAGTTTTCCAATTCGTTCCCGAAACATCCGATAATAGTGAATATACTGCAAAGGTTCCACCCTACTACGATAAACTCAACTCCTGGCTAGGACAAATCTTGCAACTAGACGCTCCCCAAGTACCGATCGACATTTGCGAATTAGAAAATATCGGAGTGGTCCTACGATTCTGTCCATTCGAAAACGTTTGCGGTCAACAGCCCAATCTAGAAGAAATGCAAGCTTTCATAGTATGTTTAGAGCAGCAGTTGGTTATTTTGAAGGCGACGGTACACCATAGAGAGAGCTTTGTAAAATTGGTGGAAGTTTCACCGGTGCTAAAAATTGTTGATCTACCAGATTGGGCAGGTGCGTAAATGTTTTTGTTATTTAATAATAGATCTAAGTAAATGACGCCTAACATTAGTTTAATTATAAGTTTTACAAACTTATAATATAAAAAGCATCATCTATTCCATGGCATAAAAGTATAAAATCAGACGTTTGTCGGTTACATACATAATATTTTTGTCCTATTTTGAAGTACTATCCAAAATTTCCATTTATATCTACACTTTTAATAACTCTTAAAACTGTATCATAATGTATATCTTGTTATATTTATTCCTTATACCAAGCTTTGGTCTTCCCCTTATTGTATTTCTTATTGCCATTCGTTTACTTATTTCGGTTGGTATTTCATCTTTTTCCACCCTTTCTTCGTGTCAAGGAAGACAGTAGCCATCCTATTTTTATGAATGTTTTGATATCCGGGCAATAAAATATTAATGAGGTAAAATACTTTACATACGTAGGTTCCCTAGTTACGTCTGATCAAGATCGTTTATTGATTCATTGCCAATAAATGTTACCATGGCTTTATCAGGCAACTGAGATCAGATAAGCTAAATATTATTTAACATAACTATTCAAGGGTATAATTATTAATCAAAATTCCAAGTTAACTTAAACATACAATTTTACGCCCAAAAGATACTCTTGGTAAAACTCGATACTCGATAACAGCAACTTTAGGTAAAAAATTACTAAGTTATCATATTCTACATGAACATTTAAATGTTGATATGCACCTTGATTCATTAAACAATCACTTATTCGAGATGTTGGAATATTTAAAGATAAACGAGCGAAGATCTTTATTTTGTATGTACGATGGAGTTCCACGACACTTTGATAGGTGTCGTAATTTATTGAATATCCATTCTCCGAATCGTTGGATTAGTAGAGATATAGAAGCTTATATATAAAGTAGTTAGGTATTATTGACTGACACGTTATGTAAAATAAAGTTTTATTTTGAGGATGCAGTCATTTAAGTAGGGCAGGATAAGTTAAACTCTTTGTTCCTAAATCAAGTTTAACTTATCCTGCCCTACTTAAATGACTGCATCCTCAAAATAAAACTGTATTATATATATATATATATATATATATATATAATATATATATATATATATATATATATATATATAATATAGGGTCATTGTGGCAACAGTGGGTCACATTTTTTTTAAATCACATAGCTCTGAAATTATATGAGCTATAAAAGTTAAATTTTAATGATGAAAAGGTAGCTTCCTTGGCTACACATTGGTTAAATATTTTTTAAACACATTTGCTGGTTTTTGAAAAAAAAATTTTATTTAAAAAAAAGTTTTTGACTCACTGTGTCCTTAGATGGGTATACAGTGGGTCAACCGCGAGGGCACAGTGGATCAGGAGGATATGGGAGTAGAACAAGATAGGAAATTTCTAATATTTTTACTCTTTATTAAAAAAATAAATGCTTATTACAAATTATAACCTCCTTAGCTTTTAAATGGAAATTAATTATGTCTTATAAATGTTAACAAAACATAAAATCAACTCAAATAGCGTTCCATATGTCAACTAGCGGATATCGATTTGAGAAAAATCAACATTAAAATAATAGTAAGACTGTTGACGTAAGGTACTTCCTCCCAGACAAGGTTTAGGCAATATAAGTTTTACATCGTTCTCGTTAACATATGATACATCAGGATTGGCATGTGAAACTGATATTTGGGATTTGAACAAAGGAAGCTTACATAATATTCAAATTTATCATTACGCTCACGCAAAACTATTCCTACAAAATAAACACTCTCTTTATTTTAGTTGCTAAACGAACAAAAACGTAATCTTCTTTCTTTGGAAAGCGAGGCAAGTCATTGAGCAATAACTTTTCATCGGTTAGTATTTGGATTTTATTTCCAACTTCATCCATGGTTCATTTGTTTTGTTTTTCTTTGGTAATTTATTTTTTCTTGACTTCCGATCGTTGCATTCTAATATTTTCCTTCTCCGGTGTATCCGTCGCGATTATGTTCCAGGTTTTCTTTTTCTTTTGTTTGCCCTTGGCTGAGCTTTGAGGGCTGCCTGAATTGACTGGGGCTTATAAAAGCACCTGATGATACCGGTGCATTTTTCGACTTTGAGCAGTGGGGCTTTGGTGAATGTTGCAATTGTTCATGTTCTAGCTCCAAGGGCTCTTGTTGTGAATCACGCTCAGGCTCTAAGTGGGCTTGGAGAAAAGTTGGAGAGTCTATTAATGTGTCAGGGAGTGTTTCATTTTCCAAAACCAAAGTACTGTTCTGCTCATTTTCTATGGTATGTTGCAAAGAAACGTCAAGTCTATTTTGGATGGTATTGGGATTGGGACGATTAGTCACAGTACTGGGTAAAAAGTCTTCTTCGGTAAAATGTCTCTAAAGGATGGATTCCGGTCTTTTTAAAAGAATTTATAATATTTGTTGGAGTCATGGCCCTGGTGAATGCGATTCCTATCAGCTCAGCTAAATCGTAAATCGTCACAGGTTTCCCTGGATTTTTAAGCATCCAAGATTCATTAGCGGCGTTATAATAAGTTTTAAATGAGAATAAATACCAACGTCTAAAGGCTGCAGCTTTGCTGACGTATGAGGGTGTAGTGTCAATATTGTTACACCGTTTTCTTTTGCTAAATCTAAAGCTTCAATGGATAAGTGTGACTCAAGGTTGTCCATGATTAACAATAAAGGATTTTCTTTGGAGCTTGAGGTATGTTTAATAAAATGTTTCATGGTAGTAACAAATAGCTCGCTATTCATCCAACCAGAAGATGTAGCTAACCCTAATGGTCCAGGGGGAGTCCTTTAAGCATGTGGTCCTTATAGTTTTTTCTGGGAAAAATCAGCACCGGAGGCAAAGCTTGACCACTTGCACTAATAAAGCAGCAAGTTGTTGCAAGAGTGCCTTTCTGGCCGCTTGTCACTTTTCCAATATTCTTACCTTTAGGACCAATTACTTTTTGAGGTTTTTGTACCGTGGTTGTTGTCGTCTCATCCAGATTGTACACCCTAGTACCATCAGCAAATGAAGAACATCTTTTGTATACTTCTTGCAGATTATCGAAAAAGACTTTTACAGTATCCTTGTTGAACGCAGTTGCTCTAGCAAGACTGCAAGCTTCTGGTTTGCGTTAAAGATAGTTCATTATGACGCTTGCGAAAAGATTTTAACCAATCAATACCTGCCATCTGATTTGAAATCCATGACTGTGGCATTTTTAATTTATTTATAACTGCCATTTCATATGCAACTTTTCTACAATCTTTTGTTGTTAAGCCGTAAAACATAATAGCGCAATTATTGTAATATTCGGTAAGTGCTTGTTCTTGCTCATCCTTAAAAACTTTATTAATACCATAACGCGGCGTAAGTTGCACATTTTCAATACTTGTTGATGCTTTAGCTTTAACTGCATAATGCTGTAGTGTTGAAAATGGAATATCCTTTTCCTTTGCTACAACACGTATCTTTTTTTCCCGATGCAATTTCCTAACCAACCTATTTTCCTGCATAACGGGCGTTTCTTTGGCATTCTGTAAAATAAAAATATAATTATAGTAACCAATTTAGTAGCAGTGGGCACAGTGGGTCGATCCACTGTACCCACTTTAGAGATGACCCACTGTATACCACTGTCGCCATTTTAATTTTAGGACGCAATAACAAATGTTTACCACTGTGTTATAATCCTTAATGTAACGTCAAATGAGGCCTTAATAACTACTTACTGCATTAAAATTATAACTCAGAGAATAGGATTAATAGATACGGAATAAGAAAAGATCAAAACTTACGTATTTTTTTTACTGTTTCACTACCAACTCACAAATTGTTCTCTGTTACTTACACTACACTTCAGAGCAGCGCACTGACCGTCGTGGAATGGCTGATAGCCGAGGTCGAATGTACTATGAAAGAGACGCAACTATTGCTTTATTCTTTCTACCCAATAGGGCGTTGACTCAGTGTGCCCACTTGACCCACTGTTGCCACAATCACCCTATATATATATATATATATATATATAATATATATATATATATATAATATATATATATATATATATATGAATAATGAATCGGAGTGACAGAATTCAACGTCACTTAAATGACATCATAGCTGATCCGCAACTGTAAAAGATTAATGTATTCTTTAGAAAAAAGAATAGACTTGAGTATTCGTGAAAACGGAAGACATTTTGGACATTTACTCTAATTGAATTTTATTTTATGTTCTTAGTCATTATTTTAATTTTCTTCTTTTCCTTTTTTTTTTTAATTAATAACGTTATCATTATTTATGCTTGCATCGGTTATTAATCCATAATTTTTTAAATCAAAATATTTCGCGCACGGTACACAGTTTGGGCCACTATCGAGGTGAAGAATTGGATGGAGGTTGCTCAAGACAGAAAACAGTGGAGGCATGTTGTCGAGTCGGCTAAAACCCACGACGGGTTGTAACGCCACGGAGTAAAGTAAAGGTACACAGTTTCGAGTTTTACCAAGAGTACCTTTTTGTTGCAAAATTGTCTTCTTCTTCTTCTTACTCTTTATAAGGAATTCTTATTCGTTGGTGGATTAATACCTCTTTGGAAGGTTGTCACTCCATCTTTTGCGCGGCCGTTTTACGACACGGGTCTCCTCCATTCTGCTTATGTGGTTATTCCATTCTTTTTTCTATTTTGTGTCCATTCATTTAGACACTGTAATTCTTCTTAGTACTCTTATCTCTGCCGTTTCCAGTAGCCTTTGCATTGTGGCTGTGTCGGGTCTTGCTTCTGAGGCATATGTCATTATTGGCCTTACACTGGCTTTATAACGGCTAGACTTCATCTCAGTGTTAATGTGTCTGTTTCGCCATATAGTGCTGTTAAGGCATCCTGCCAATCTATTGGCTTTTTGTACTTGATCTCTCACTTCTTTGCCCAGGTCTCCATAGCTAGACAGTGTAATTCCCATGTATTTTATTTCCATTACTTGTTCAATACTGATGCTATCAATTTTTATTTTAGATCTGGTTGGTTTTTTCCTGACTACTATTATTTTAATTTTCTGTGATGAGATTGTCATATTAAATTCTTTTGCTCCTGTTAAATCTGTGGACCAGTCTTTGCAGACTATCTTCATCTTTGCTATTAATATTGCGTCGTCTGTGTAACAGAGTATTTTTATTTCTTTGTTTCCCATTCTGTATTCTCTTCCTTTGTTAACGCTTTTGATGATTTCATCCATGATCAAATTGAAGAGCATGGGGATCAATGAATCCCTTTGCCTTATTCCGCTGCCTATTTCGGTAGGTTCTGTAAGTTGTCCATCTATTCTGACTTCCATTTTGTTGTTTTGGTAGATGTTTTTGATAGTTTTTATATGTGTTTCGTTTCTAATTGTCTTGTAATTATGGTATGCCTCTTGTGTTTTGGTTGACATGTATTTCAGATAAGCTTTTTTCTTTTCTTTACATTTTTCCTTCACTTCTGTACAAAAACATGACGTTCTTCGCCTTGGAAACGATTTATTTTTATTTATATTTCTTTTCACCAAGTACTTTCTTGCAAAATTGTATGATGTTTAAGTTTACTTGGAATTTGGATTAATAAGTCTACCCTTAAAAAGGTATGTTGAATAATACTTGGTACGAACCTTGTAACTAGCGCCCTCTATGAGGGTCAGATATAAAAACAAATTTATTACAATGTTGCCGGTAGTATCGGCAATATCGTAAAAATGTGTAATTTTTTTTTTCTTCAACGCCCTTTATCTTGAAAAATGATGGCGTTACAAAAATTTTTTACTAAGCAAACTCCAATTGTTTTTCAGTTTTTTAACAATTCTATAGACGATCTTACCTTTTTTGAAACACCCTGTATATTGCACTAGTATCCCATTAATCAAGTAGCTGCTTATTCACCCGTATATTTATTGGTAGCGCATGTATTGTATTCAATAATGAGCCTCCTCCTTCCTTAATCAGCTTGGATGGTTGAAAGCTTTTTTCTTTGTTATCTACTTGGTCGAATGGTACGTAAGGGTCCGCTTTTCTTCTGTTTTTTATTACTTTTGTTTATTTTCTGGTAGAATTTTCTCGTCTCTGCTGATTTACTTAGTCTCCATCTTTGAGGTCTATATTTTATCGTTCGTATGTAGATATTTTGACCTTTTGATATTTGAAATTCTGGTCTGTTTACCTTGCTTTTAACCATGTATTGGTGTGAATCCACATTTGTCCCTCTCCTGGTTTGTATGTTTATGATACAAATTGGTGTCTTGAATCAAAAATCACATAACTTATCATGTTTACTGTAAGTTCGTCTGGAGATTTCCAGGATCTGTTTTGTATATTTTTTTTTCGTTCGAAGTACGTACTGGCTATAACCCTAGTAAATTATATTTATTTTTTGTTGACATTTTCTAAATGATAACAACAATGTACTATTCCTGAACGGTAACTAAAAAATGAATACTACATAATAAAATTTATTCTTATAAGATACTAATGTTTAATAGATCAAGAAAAAATATATCTATTAAAAATTATCAAAATTCTACTCGTTTTGGCTTGTTAATAGAGTGATATCAAAATATCTTACGACCGATTTTCTTTTAGGTCTAGGAGGAGTACGATATTGTCCAGAAGGATGGGAACAGTTATTGACTGACCAAGCTAAAGAAGAACTTAACCATCTTAACATGGTTCTGGTAGATACTCTTCGATCTACGGATGCAGCATTTTCCTTGGGAGAAGGAGATAATGGTTTGATGTGTGTACGGTTCGGCATGTTGACTCCAGAATCTGATGTCGAAAAATTGTTAGATCTAGTTGTAAAAGTAGGACAATCTGTAGAAGAGAATTCTAGAGTACTTGATTCTATGAGTGAGATTGTCAAAAAGGGTAAGTATAAATAAAAGGGAAGAATAAAATGACCCTAATACAATTTTTTATTAGTCAAGTTGCTCAAATTTAATATAGGGTGCTTAATATGTTATATTTTGATTGCCTTAAGTAGAGTCCCGTGCTGTATTGTTCATCAATTATTTTTTCTTGAACTTGGTTTGCTTTATATAAGTTTTCTATGTTAATTACTGTAACATTTATGACCAATTATAACATTTATGACTAATTATTTTTTGTTACTGAGGTTTTTTCCAACGTCTTCAATATTAAAAACAAATCCATCTGTTCAATATATGCAATGTTTCCTTTAAATAAGGTACATTGGGGCAAGTGGAAGCAAATCTACCGGGGTAAAAGTAAATAATTAGACTCGCTATATGCTACAAAAAAATATTTTTAATAGGAAATACATTACTTAGCCCGCATTATGTGTATCAAATGTAACGTTAAATACTATTTTTCTCTTTTATCTACTGTAGAGAGAGTAAGTGCATAAAAATCTCATCTTCATTGATTACGCCTTAATTTTCTACAACAGGCCAATGAAATTGTAGATGTCTTACTAATTCGCTGACAAAATATTGCCTCTAGACATGGTTCTTTTTCTGTTAGCTGATCTACATACATTTTAACCTGTTCCTTCTGATTGAATTTAACCACAATCTAATCACCCACGTTTATTTTTGTCAAGTCTAGCTGCATTTGATTGAGGAACTTCATTTCTTTATTCATTTCTTCCACCTCATCTATGGTAGAATTGCTTGAAATACTTTGTTTATCTTCAATACTGTCGCCATCACTGTTTTCTTTAAATAAAGATCTCATTTTCGTTGATTTTTCTGCTTATTTTTATTTTTGCTTTGAATATTCTCTTTTTCTCTCTCGTCATCTCGCTACTTTATCTTCAGCTATTTTTGTTGAAATATTTTTTATTTTGATGAATTTTTCAAGCTGCTGGTTTTGGATTTGTTCCAGCATTTAGCAACAGCGTCTTCTGAAGTGATCACCAGCGCAGATTTCTTCCGGTGGTAGTTTTTGGTGTTTGTTCTATTTGCTCCAGAAGAAACGTTTTAAACGTTTTCTGCAGATGGTTTAAAGATGTTGAGGCTCCGCCTTCCGACACACTGACTTCGTTCGCGATTATGGTTGTTGTGGGTACTACGACTGTTGGTTGATCTGCAGCATTATAAGTGAATGCAGCTACATCTGCCTGACTTTCTTGAAAAGTGCACCAACGTTTATATTTTTCAAATAATTTTGAAAATTTTTGACCGAATATGTTATCTCAGCATATTTCTCATCCTTATTGCGAGCCATGAGTCCCACACATTATTTCCTCCAAATACAAGATGCGGTGGTACTTTTCCCGCCGCGTTTGCATCTAGCGACACAGCTATTCCTTTTGGACTAAACATTTTTTATTCTGCTCGGATCTAAACAAAAACTAGTTTCATCTATATTGTAGATAGCTGATGGAAAAACACCTTTTATGGCTTTTTTAAGAGATCACTGATAATGAATGGATCTACACTTCTTTTTCTTGCTACTTCCACTATTTGTGGCTTTTTTGACATGAGTTTAAATGTTTTTTTAATCGCATGAAATAGTCATCACTTGGTATACCATCCTTGAATAGAGTTTCGTTCATATAACGACCTATAAGTAATCACACTTCTTTTTCGTTTTTGAAGAGGCCAAACCCCCATTTTTCCATTTGCAAAGGATATAAATAGGCTAGTATTCAATAGGTGGAGCCATTTTAAAAAGTAGAGTTTAGTAAAATAAACGTTAGTTCTACTTGACCCAACTTACACTTACTTCGGTGTACCTATATATTCATGTTGTTAGTACTTTTTTTTATTTCGAAAGGACTAAGAAACCAAACAAAATTAAACATTTTAGTAGTATCTGCGGATATTTTAATATCAGAAAATTGGTTTACCTTTTTGAAATATTTATGAGTTGTTAAAAACATAAAAGTTTCAAATGGTTTCACAGTAATTGTTGCGTTTTTCATATGAGTTTTATACTTGGATTTTCCAAATCTTTTTCATTGCATTAATGGCTTATCTATAAATTTCTTAACTTGATTTAATTTAAACAATTATATCAATAACAAATATTTTAGGTATTGAAACAGCAACTCTCGACCTCCAAAAAGAAAACGAAGAACGATTATGGCAGGAAGGTATTGTGCGACATATCCCGATCGTAGGGACATTCGTTAACTGGTGGTCGCCGAAAACCAAAGATGCCGGAGGAATTCGTGGTCGCAGCCTTAACCTTACACAAGGCGTTGTGGAATCGACCGAAAATATCTATAAATACCACATGCAGATGGGGCAAGGTATAGCTCCTGGAGGAATTACACCTCCCACTCCACAGATACAAACGCCTATTGGAGGAAGCCATTCTAGATCTAGCAGCCATGCTTCTGCTTCGAGTCAACAGTCTGCTATTAAATTGGATAGTTCTGTTAAATTGGATAGCTCTGCCAAATTGGATAGCTCTGTCAAATTGGATAGCTCTGTCAAATTAGATAGTTCTGTCAAATTAGATAGTTCTGTCAAATTAGATAGTTCTGTCAAATTAGATACTTCTGTTAATGTCAAACCGGACATTGTAAAATCTGATGGAGTTGTTAAATTGGATAGTGACTTTTCTAAGTTAAATTTGGAAAATAGCTTGAATAAAGTCAATAGTCAAAATAAGGAAGTTGTAGAAATTAAAGAGAATAATATTTAATTAGGTAGTAGATTTAGAACTTTTTGATAAAAGTTGTTCGTGAATAGTTTGTTGAAACAAAGTTACAGTTAAGCATATTTTATTTTTATCAGTATTACGCAAGCAAAAGTGAATTCTGTTTTGGGTTGATAATAATTACTGTTTCTCTTGTTTGTTTAAAATGTTTCAAACTGTGTCATTTGTGAATTGTGTATTTTCACATTTTATATAAGAAACCCATGTCGGTGCTGATACGTGGAAAATTTCAGGCTGAGATTTCTTGATATTTAATGTATGCTTTTGATGTAGAAGTACAGATGTACAGTTAGGAGTTCAGATTATCCCGCAACATCAATATAATGAAATTCATGACAACAAAATATCGTGACCAAATTGGTAAAGTAGCGAATTTGCATATTTGCAGGAGAGCTAAAAAACACTTTGGGCTTAGACTAAAAATCTGTTTGTAATGTTATTTGTCTTTACACGCCTGATCTGAAAACCAAAAAATGCCTAAAAAGGTTAATAATGAAAATATGCTAAGCAACCATAGTTACTAAAAAGTCACATTCGTTAGTTTACTTAAGTGACTATTGTTAGATTGTTAGGCTATAAAAAATAGCGAATCTGCATTTGTGTTAAAGGAGAATGTACTTATGTATCACCTGTTGATTGGTTTTCTCATGAGGTATGTGAACAGAATAGAGAACTTTAAGATTAAACAAAAATTAATAAAACGCTAAACTATTTTATAATTTTGCTTTAAAATTTAGATTACTGGTTTAGTTGTTATGATTCGTTCTCAGATTATTCAGAGGCATCTGGCTCTGGAGGGGCATTACTAAAATTATCACTTACAGTGACCTAGGTCAGAGCGCAAGGCAAGATCTAGTGTTTTTTGCTTTGACTTTAGTAAAGAAAAGAAAACTTTCATATTTAGGGGCAAAAAATTTAAAGTGAGGGTAAATATTCCTATTATGGAAATGATCACTTAGTGTCCTGGGTAAAAATGACAGCAAATGTTTTAATGACAATGATGCATTTTAATGATAAATTAAAGCATGAAAATGAATGAATAATAAAAATCATTTTACTAGTAAAGTTTTTTTTATTTTTGTTCTTTATATGTATGTTTAAAAGGTAAAACCATAATAAAACACTGTATCTTGATTTCCGTTATACCTTAAGAGAATCATTTATTTATATATTTCAATTTATGTGTATATTGATATATATTTAAAGATAACCATGGCTATTATCAACTTTTGTAACGGAACAACAATGAAAAAGGAGAATGATTGACGTAATAATAATATGCAACTCTTATATCTTTCACTTAAAACTTGTCGACGCTGTAACAACACCTTTATGAGTCAAGTAGATAGTACAATCGACAAGCGGACGTAGTGTGAATTTTCCATTATTGTAATAAGGCAAGGCAACTACAATGTATATTTATCATATACAACCTGTATGACCTACGATGGACAATAACATCCATAAACATATGACACAAATAGACTGACTGCTGCAAAAGAGCCGCGTTCCCCTAGTGCGACTGAAAAAACTGACGCAAAGTGGTCCTTACATCTCTTTCTAACGGGCCTTCTCATTGGTCATTTAGGTCACGTGGTTGATAAACCTGGTAGATTAGAAAGAGATACAGGGACTGCCTTGCCTCAGTTTTCTCTATCGCACTGAGACGAACGCGATTGTAATTTTACTTCACTTATGATACAGTGTAACTAATGCTCCCAAACACGCATTATCATTCCAAATTTTGTATATTTATCTTTAAAATAACTTTTATCAAATTTTTACATCTACAGCACGATATATGCTACTAAAATAAAGGATTATATATTTTTCTTTTAATTTAAATTCCGTTCAGTAACTTTTCTGATAATTAAGTGTAAAAATAGTGTTAGGCCTGTAAATTATTCAACACGCTTTATTAGAGACTGAAAGAAATTAAAGTTGTGATCTAGTGAAAGAATAGATTTCAATATAGTATTAGTGTTATTCCATTGATGCCCACCGACTACCCCGAAACCAATCATAACTAAAAGCTTTGATAATGAGTAATTGTAAACATGCTCTTTATTACTTAAAAAAATAGTGGCTACAGCCAGCTTCAGGAATGCTGTTCTAGAACTGTTCTGATGCTGTTTTAGAGTGAAATATATTGAATCATTCCCTCATCTCATTGAAAAGGTTACCATAATTTCGCACATTTATCTGACTCACATGTAGTATTGGCAACATTTTCTGGGTTTAATGATTTTTTTTAGGAAAATGGGTTGAGGGTTGAGTATACTCTTTGGTAGCCCACCGGATGGTTTAATACAGATGATTCTACTTTGAGTGGCTTTGTTGAATGCTTGGTAGTAATAGCGAAAAATATTTCGTTGAAAATTTATTGAGTAAATCCATACCTCCATAGACATATAGAATTTAAGCTCAGATTGTAACACTGCTACTTTCGCCTTCCGTTTTGCACACCAACGCTTCACTTGTGCAATAGGTTCTGTGATATTATAATATTGATATTCATAGGATCTGTGTTACAAGTAATGAAACACTTTATTATAGCAGTAATCATATTTCCAATTTCCACAATTGATTTTTTTTATCTCATCTATCTTATAATTTTGAGTCTATGTTACTGGAGATTTGGGTATTATGGGATTGCCCCAAAATATGATTTATGAACTGTGTTAACAAATAGTTAAGTTGTTAAAAAATTGTTAATCTGTTAGTCCAGCAAGCTTCGTTTGAATTCTTTCAAAACCATAAATGGTTACATTTATCTTTTTAGGATGCCCTTTGGGGTTCTCAGGCTTATTCAGCTGATTATTTTCCGACGATTGGTTCTTTTATGATTTTTTACTTAATTCTTTAATGTTTGTGTAATTACTTGCATTCTGTAATCTTCTCAATTTGGACAATGAAATGTTTTACTCCGTTTTGTCCAGTTTGCCCCAAATTTCAAAATCTCAAACCTCTTCTCGTCAGTTTAATAATTTACATTTGGCGGAATGATAACAAAGCCTACTTCTGCATTGTTGGTAACTGTTATATTGTCTAAAGCTGTTGCAAGCGTTTCACACATTTTTCATAAACTAAGAAATCCAGATCATCTCAATAACTGCGGAATTTCAAACGTGAAAAATATATGATTTATTACTGTGGTATCCTGCAAGTATAAGTTTATAATCTATTCATATTCCAGAAAAAATGTGCCTAAACAATCTCTAAACATGAAGAGATCCTGATCCTCGCCTGTAAGTGCGAGTTACAACTCACCCCATACTATCTACTACTCGGAAGGATGATTTCGATGTGATCCTGAATTGTGTGCGTCTTTTTTCGTGTCTTTGAATTTGTTATAAAAGTCTTCAGAGGTCACAGATATAACAAGTGTGTGATAAGACATACATAAATAAAATGAATTTGATGTATTTAATAAATATTCTTTAAAATACACCAGTCACTTCCAACTTTGGTTTATCAAAAATAATACAGTAAACTGTGACATGATCTAAAAGAGTAAATAATGCTAAAACACTGTGTACTAGAGATGTTGAAATATTCACCAAAAGATGATGGTACTGTTGGCGTTAATGGATTATTGGCCATAAAATAAATATTCTTATTTACAATAGTAATCATTTTTACACATCAATATATAAAAGTTACTGAACACAATATATTTTGTATATATAAAAAATCATATAAAAAGTGTCATCGAAGATGTTAATATTGTTTTATTTATTTCAAATTATGTTATTTGAATTGTTATCAGTATTTATATACTCTAATCAGTGAAAATTGCTGCACTTATTCTTTTTTGCTTCTTTATTTTTGAATACAAAACCAGGCTTATACCAAAAAAGTGTGAGTGCTTTCATATTTTAATACATTTTATGTTAATATGATTTTGGTCTTTTATTTATTTAAAAACTTTCCCCATGGATCCTGACTATGACTATTTAGCAAGATTTATTGCCTACAATGTTGAACAAAAGACAAAAAAATTAAACTGAATGTATCGGCTATCATTGAGTGATAAACACTTTGCACACACAGTACTTATTTTCAACTTGATATGATCAATGATTTCTATAAGCAAAATTTCGGATTAACCGTGGACTCATCCTTATCTCCAGTATTAGGAGATATATTCATGGAGGATTTCGAACAAAATATGGTATACGTACAAGACAAACAACCTAACGTATGATGGAGGTATGTAGATGATGTGTTCTCCATTTGGCCTCATCGACCAGAAGCATTGAATAAATTCCTGATGGACATCAACAATAACGAAGAATCAGTCGAATTCACCATGGAAAAAGAAAACAATAATTCACTTTCTTTTCTGGATGTGGTGATCACAAAAGAGTATACATGATACGCAATCAAAGTTTACAGAAAACCAACCTACACCAACAGATTTAAATTAGCACTCAATTCCAAAAAAGGAATAATTAAATTATATAGTAGAGCCCAAAACACCTGCTCCAATAAAAAGCCATTACAATAAGAAAAAACATGCTAACAAAGGTTTTAAGACTACCTATTGTCATTTATAAACAAGGAATTCCAAAAAATAGAAAACAATAAAAAACCACAAATAATCCAGAAACGGAGAAACATTGACAAGAAGGGACTTAAGGATGACAACAATACTACATGTAAAGGGTTTATCAGACGAGTTAAAAAGGATAAGAAGGTTCAAAACCAAACATATTTTCTATGTGGGAGAAACCGCAAGACCACTAAGTATCGGGATAAACGACCATGAATTATACATCAAAAACAGGGACTTCTATAAAAATCACAGATATTCAAACATGCCGGGTGCAATGGAAAGATGCATCTATAATCTTGAAAGAAATATACATGAAAAAGAGAAAAGTCAAAGAAGTAGCCCTCATCCTACTCATTGCAGAAAAATGTATAGCAAACCCATCAGCAGAATGTAGCAGGCTTTGGTTGCCAATACTGAGAGAACAAATCAACAACAAGAATATACCAACAACGGATGTAGAAACTCAGTCACAACGTCTTCAATTATATCCAACACACGAACTCTCACACAAACGCTTATTGCACATTTTAATAGTGCAGAACACTTAAAATAATTTTAGTTCCATAGGGTATGCCTGTTGCTTATAACACCTCGGCCGAGTGTTTCAATTTTGTAAAATGAAAATGGCATAACCTCTGTAGCTACCTACCTTGGTGGTTATACGCTCTTTTTACCAAAATTCTTAAATAATCTTTTTAAGAGCGATATTGGGGGTGGAAGTCGACACGTCAAATTTTTTAGCTACAAATTTAATTATTAATACAGTGAATTGTGGCTTAATTAAATATCACAATATTTAACTACAGTCAATAAGTTTTGGATAAGAAATAATTTTATTTGCAAACATATAAATCAGTAAAATCGTATTTCCCAAACTTCGTATATTTGTATAAATAATTGGAATACTAAAAATTCTTTAGCAATATACTGTGGTATGGTATTTAAAATGATACAGAGGAGAGAGAGAGAGAGAGAGAGAGAGAGAGAGAGAGAGAGAGAGAGAGAGAGAGCATATTTGATATCGGTAACGGCACGCCATGAGACGATGGCAACCATCGATACAATAACAACTTCTTCCGATAGACAGAGAGCTGGTAAGTTGACGATATGATTTTCTCTCAAAATACATATTTGTTCAATAAATCAAGAAAATCCTTGGAACGATGTCTCCTTTTTATTTCACTTCACTCTTTTTTCACGTTTCCGTTAAGGCAATATCTTTCAAGTTTAACCTTATCCTGACGAATCGATAATATTTCACGGCTGTTCTGAAAAGTATCTTATGAATTAATTATTTAGCTTCATTTTAACACTCATCACTCGCAGCTCAAAAAATGTCCGCCGTCCCACTCGGGGTTGTTAGATTTTATCCAACATATGGGTATAGGTCAAAATTAAATGGAATCATTAGTACTTATTGGTTAGTTTATTGGATATTAATCACAAAAAAACGATAAACTTATACGTATTTTTTTAAAACAAAACTGCAAAAAAAAAACTTACTAGGTAAACTAAACAATTTATACACATTACCCTAGAACAAAAACAAATAAGAGATTTATATTAAAAAAAATTAGCATTACGCCTAAAAATAAGATTTCCTTCTCTTTAGGCAGTGGTTGACAAGTAAAATTTGTTTAAACCAGTGTGCTCTTTACATCGGCACACTTACAGTTAGTTACATTTATATGTTGGGTAACCTGTTCATCCGTACAGGGCAAAAAGAACATATTTGTTTTATAATTTGCGTTGCCCCTTGAGAAACTGATGGTGTGTCTCCGGTTATCATTAGGATCCTGAGTCTCAACTGAAAGGGCAAATTTTTTTCTTCGCTTTCTTCGCCAGATGTTACAATATTGGGGTTATTTTTTGTAAATTATTTGGCTTGTTTATAGTTAAAATATTAAGTAGGCTGCAAAAAAACAGTAAACGGCCAGCTTATTGCTAAATCGAAGTCACCGAGTATTCTGCCTTCATTATTTATCAACAACATCTAATTTCACCTTTTGTGAGGTTGTATCAGTAATAACCTCTGGCTTCATGGTTTATGCTCTTTGGTGCTTTTCTCAATGAAAACCATCGCAGTGTAGTCGAGTAGTTCATCTTATTTTTTTGGCTCATTGGATTACAGGACATACTTAATTTTCCATCGTCACTATATGCAAACTTGCTACTATACATGGGTCTTCCTTTTATGTTTTTCAACTCAGGGGGAATTTTTTGTTTATTTTTACACACAGTACCTATCTTTGTCAAGCAATGATCGTTCAATAAAGAGTTGGCTAAGGGTACAGAGGAAAAGTAATTATCCGTAGTTATGTCTCCGGAGGCGTGTCAGGGAGAAGCTGACCGCCGTGCCGGACGCATTTAGAAATTCGGAGAAATACTTGGAAATTCCAAGTGTGGGCAAATCCGAATTTCTAATTGACTCGATGTAGGGAAATTCCACTTTTACTAAGTAAAACAAAGGATTTGTTTTATATAAAAGCAGACGGAATTTCTCTCATCGGTCAGTCGAGCTTGCCTCTTCTCTACTGTAGACCTAGTCGGTGCTATTATTGTTCCACCTAAGTTATTGTTTTATTTCTTATTTCCTGATAACCATTTATATTTTATTATTGTATATTCAGACCTTTTCAGGTTAGAAGATTACTTTGACTTATATTTGTTCATATACTGATTATTTGATATTTTATTTGATTATTTTGATTGTTTATTTTTCTTGTATTTTGTATCTAAGTTGTTCTTCCGTAAGTTAAGAACACTTAGAAATATTTACCTTACTTTTTTCTATTTTAATAAATTTGATTTTGTACTTTGTGTCTAAGTAATTCTTTCCGGTAAGTCAAAGAACTCTTAGAAATATTTCTCTGATATTTGACTTGTTAATTTTATTGTGTGCCTAAGTCATTCTTTTCCGGTAAGTCAAAAGAACACTTAGAAATATTTTCATAATCATTATTGCATTATTATTTCCGATATTTATCTAAGATATTTTCTTAATATATTTATCTCTTTTATTTTACCATTTCATGCTGAGTTGTTTCTTCCGTAAGTCAAGAAACACTTAGGAGCATTTACCCTGTATTATATTTTTTTTACCGTTTGATTTATTTTGATTTACTAAGCTATTCCTTCCGTAAGTCAAGGAATACTTAGATTATTGTACCTGTTCTGTTTTCTATCTTTGATCCGTTATTTCGTAACCGTTCCTTGGAACTGTTACCTATAACCGATACTTGTCACGGTAACTGTTACCTTATACCATTAGCGATTATTAACCCTTTCGATAGCGACAAACAAAGATGGTCAACACCCGATCAAATTCCGGGGACAGGAAGAAGTCCGAAGAGCCGGCGATGGGTCCCACAGGCCCAAATGCCCTCTCTCGGCAACAGTTACATTTCGACCGGTTCCAAAGTACCTATCGTTGTCAAGCAATGATCGTTCAATAAAGAGTTGGCTAAGGGTACAGAGGAAAAGTAATTATCCGTAGTTACATTTCGACCGGTTCCACATATGGGTCGTATAAGTCTTTTTACTACACTAGATGCATCGTTGGGTAGTTGATATGGTCCTTCAGGTTGTTTGCCGGGGTAAATTTTGAGATTTTGTGTGAAAAATGTTCTAGCGTCCACCAAGGACATTTCTCTGTATTTCTCCGTATTTCGCAGGCTATTGGCTATATACTGCCTAAATTTGCATCGACCACGGAACGCTTCCAATATTTCATCTATGGTCACATAGAATCCAGGAGTGTATGCAGATAAACAGTTAGTGACAAACATTTCATATATTTCTCGAATGGGTGCAAGATTATCAACTGCCGAATTTTCTTGCCTCTTAGTGACGTCGTCAAATCTTACAGCTTAAATTATTTGGTCAAATCTTTTCTTGGATATAGTAGCTGCAAAAATATCTGGAGCTGTGCCATCTAATTTCCAGAGTTTATCAGTATTTAAATGTTGCGCTCTCTTTATCCCAGCAAGGAACAAAAGCCCGATAAATGCTTGCATTTACTCGTAGTCAACAGCAGGACAATCCCTAGGGCGAGTATAAAACACTCTCATCATATCCAGTTTTTGATTTGTATATTTTACAATATTATTGATCATAGCATCCGAAAAAAACAATTTCCAGCATTCTAATATGGTTTTGGCGCCTTTTGCTTTTACCCCAGGTAAGTGCGTAACAATATTACAAGCTTTGGTCTTACCTTTGGGAGTGTGTTTCTTATGTTTCAACCATGGTGTTTTATCTTTGCCATAAAATCTTTACAATACCATCATCTTGGCCGTTTTCTTCTATGGCATCTTCAGGATCACTGGGTAGATCTTGTGTGGACTGCTCAGAATCTGTATTGTGGATACTGTGTTCAGAACGAACATCACTTAAGTCCTTATCAGAATCTAGTGGTTCTGATGAAAATATACTCGAGTAGAACTCTGCATACAATTAAATATCTGTCAATAGTTTGTGAAATTTATTACTAACCTGACGGCAGATTAAAAGTCAAAAACTTCTCTGGTAAGTGTTTGCGATCTTTAGAGGCCACTTTAAACAAGGAAAGAGAGTCTCTCTCCTTGTTTGACATCAAATTTAGTTGGGTTATGTTATTGTTTGTCCCAAATGTCACATGAAATCTTATTTATATTGAAGTTTTTTAACAATTGTGTCGCATTTTAGACTCTTATCATTAATAATTAATTAAAACTTTCTCGTCTAAGACACATTCTGAAAAATATTATATAGCTACTGTTGATAAGTGTCGGAAAATTTAAATTTCGCGCATTCGCATTTCCGGATATGTCCGCCATCAGAGGCCACTTTTTTGGTCTCCTTTTCATAAGGATTAGATTCCCTCTTTTGTCTTATTGGTCTAAGTATTCTTTTTTAAGCAATAGTAGTAGTATAAAATCTGTATTAATCTGCCACTTAGGCAGTGGTTTCTATATTAATTATGATTGATCGCTAAATTTTACTCCACGGAAAAACGAAACGAATAAAAGTCATGTAACTTATAATTAATATAATTTATACTATTTTAAAATGGTTCGTCTTACATTATTTAATATAATTTACACTTTTGTGTCTTATTTTTAATATACAACTAAAATAAATCTATTGACTGACCCGAAGTGGTAATAATAACTGTTGAAATTTAAATTTAAATTATTGTCAAAAACCAATCACAACGTTTTGGTGCTGCTTTGAATAGAGCAAAATCTAATAAAGTTTCCTAGTTATTTTTAATTAATTAACTCCAATGAGTTTTTTTCCTTTTCCCACTTATTTTTTGAAACCTAAAAAGAGATCTATTTAACTAAGCACTAGTTTTGGACAGCACACTCCAGCATATCTGAAAATAAAACAAATCAACATTAGTTCTAAATTTTTAGATGTTGGAAAAAAATAAAGACACTTAATTCGTCATTGCAGATTGACCTTGAAAATTAATAAAATACTTACTTGTTGTTATCTAAAGAACAGAAATATTTCTCGTAATCTTTAAATGTTGGTAAAAATGCTAATACTCCTGGACATTCCTTAAGTAATACACAATCTCCAGTTTTATTGTTATTTAATGGTGTCACAGGGCAGTCTACAGATGGTATTCCTTTAATACTGTCGATTTTGTAAGACCCTGCAAAAATATATTGGATATATAATAATTTACTAAGATAATTTTTAAATATAAAATGTAAAAAAAAGAATTTATTGATCATCAAAAACTTGTAGCTTTAAGCTACGCGCGCACTTGACGTAACCGGCCGGCAAGGGAACGCATCGCTACAGCCCGAACTAAGTACCGTAACGAGCATTCATTGGGAAAATCACGTCAGCTTAGTCAGTGGATTTACATATTTCATGGTAGATGGATCCAAAAATTATTATTGGTAAATAATAAACTTACAAAGAGATAGCGTAATGAATGGGTGCATGAAATTTTGAAAAAGCTAAATTTGCTACTTATTTACAAAGAAAGTTATTCTTTGTGTTATTTATGAATTTATTATCTTAAAAAGCTAAGTTCCTACTACAAAAAGGTGTAACAATTATAAATTAAATTAGACCAGTACCTACTTGAATCAATGTTATTGTAATGAACTATTATTTTTTAAATATTTTTCACGTTAACAAAATAAAAAGCTGCAGGAAGGATTCAAAAACCATAAATGCCTGTCACTAGAAAAATCTGCTCGTGACAGTTGCAGAGACTTTTACCATAAGCAAAAATGTTCAGGCGTCTTGGCATTTGTGGACCTGAGAAAGGCGTATGACTCTGTACCAAGGTCAGAACTATGGGAGGCAATGTACAAATTAGAAATATAGACGGAACTCATAGAAGCTACAAAAGCTCTGTACAGGGTGTTTCAAAAAAAGGTAACCCCGTCTCTAGGGTAGGTAAAAAACTGAAAAATAATTGGGATTTTGGTAAAAAATTTTTGTACCGCCATCCGTTTTCAAGATACAGGGCATTGAAGAAAAAAAATTTTACGCATTTTTTACGATTTTGCCGAAACTACTGGCAACATTGTAATGAAATTTTATACGAATATGTTTTGGAAGCTGATACATCCCATGAATTTGTTTTTATATCTGATTCTCATAGAGGGCGCTAGTTACACGGATCGTACTAAGTATTAGTCAATATAACTTTTTTAAGAGTATAATTATTAATCAAAATTTCAAGTCAACTTAAACATCATTTAATTTTACACGAAAAAGGTACTCTTGGTAAAACTCGATACTGTGTACCGTTTTCGGAATATTTTGATTATAAAGTGTATGGACATGTAAGAAGAACTAGCGACAGCAAATGGATAAAGAGAATAACCGAATGGAGCCCATAGGAAGGAGGAAAAGAGGACGACCCGAAGATCCTGGAGGAACGAAGTAGACGACGCCATGAGTAAGAGAGGCTTAAACGATGGAGAATGGACAACAGAGAGAGATGGAAACGGTTGAGCGAGGGAAGGCAGTGAATACTGTAGAATCCCTGAATATATATAAAAATGTTCGAGCTCTGTGTAAGTTAGCGGGCTATGGTCGTTCAAATATGGGTTTTAATTTCTCAAGTATTCCTTAAAGAAAGTGAAGCTTCTAGAAAACTAGAGATCAAATCCTTTTTTTATGAGTATGAAGAGCGTTCTTAAAAATCAAAGAATGTAATGATTAACGTTGTTCAAGAATCTTCCTCCCAGTTTCTACAGCAGAAGATAATTGATGATGAATCACTTATCCAATCCATCTGTACCAGTATCGGCCTTAGTGGGTTTTTATAAAATCACGATTCAACAAGAACAATTTAAAAAAGTCTTGCAGAAGGTGCGTTCTCGTGAAGAAAGTGCGTAAATTAATTTGGTTATAATATAATAATTCATATATAAATGACATTTCAACATTAGCTAAAATACGTCATCAAACTCAAAAAAACCGAAATCAACTATCAATCTTAGTATGGGTTCAAGGCTTGCGTTACTTAATTTTACAATGAACTATTACTCTATAATTATTGAGTTGGCCATAAGAAGCACTATGATAATGCGTTAGGTGTTATAAAATTTTTAGTGCTTTTTCGAGAAAAAGCTACAACATGTATAAAAAAAATATAACGTTAAAATAGCAAACATTAGTTTTCTTACACTCAAAACAACACAAAAGATGTATTACAACTTTTATGTACAGGACCGCATTTAGGTCAATTGACGCCCTAGGCAATTCTGTAGCAACTGCGAAATGTTAATCGATTTTAATTTTTATAAACAAATATTTTTTGGGCAGTATTTTTGCCGCCCTCTCATAATTTGCCGCCCTAGGCAACTGCCTATATTGCTTAATGGATAAAGCGGCCCTGTTTATGTATGGTTGTGAATAATTTTTTATATAATTTCAAAATACTTACGTCCTGATATTGTAAGTGTCTTATTTGCAGTCAAAGTTCCATTTAACCAAGGTAAAGCGGTAAATATATCATTAGGATCATCATCGTCGGTAAGTGCTTGAGGTATTGAAGCTAAAAAATATACAAATTAATATGATTTTAGAACTTTATATTTATATATAAACTATTTATTATTATTTATTATTATAATATATATTTAGAATGTATATATAAACTTAAAAAATATTACAAATAACATTTCTATTTTAACCCAGGTATTTTGAGACCGTAAAAGAAGCTAGAAAAACTTTACGACTTGAGGATTAAAAAAAATATGTGCAAAGTAATTTGTTGATATAACAAAGTTTATCATATTTCCCGATAAACTGAAACTGTAACAACAATTTAAACACCACTATTAGATCAGCCGTATTTGCAAAACTCTCACAAACAAAAATTTATATAAATCGCATAAACTCTTTCTAAGATGCAGAGTTTCATACTGAAAGCTCACTCTGTGTAAGTAATATCACATCAGTTCAATTTATCAGTCTTTATTTTATAATATTTGTAATTAAATATTACTTACTCGAAAAACTTTCAAGGGATCCCATATAACCTGAAAAATATGTTTAATAAATATATTTAATTCCAATTATATTTTACTCTAATAAGGGAAACACTACGATGATAATGACGATATTAATGTACAACTAAATGTTTACCTAAATTAGAATGGATTTGATACTTGATCTTAGAGGAAACTAACGAGTCAGCTAATAATCCAAAAACCAGAGCTCCAGGAAATTATGAAATTCCCGTAGGCCTCTACAAAAATGTGGAGAGAGACACTTAAATAAATAAGTCAACACAAGACTATAAGAAGAAGAGTAAATGTCTGAATAATTAGAAATTGATTTATTATGCCTACTACACAAAAAGGGAGCCGGTCTGAATGTGATAATTTACAGAACGGATAGCCCTCGAAAGTAAAAGCCTCGACTTAATAACAGCACTATTCAATCAGATATATGTCACAGGTAAAATACCATCAGACTGGCTAAAATCAACATTCGTAACATTACCAAAAAAATCCAATGCCTCACACTGCGATGACTATCGAATATTAACCATGATGTCTCATGTCACTCAATTCGGATTTCGAAATGGATTGGGAATACGAGAAGCTCTTTTTACCTTTTTTGATGTGTTAACACAACGATGCAGACATGAATATAGATGTATATGCATGTTTTATTGATTATCGAAAAGCATTTGACTGCGTTAACCTTCAAAAGTTGATCGAAATTCTGAGAACAACTGGAATTACGAACAAGATTTGCGAATTATCTCAGAAGTATATTGGCACCAACGGCAACAATTGAAATAAACACCAACATCTCGAATGCCTCGAGTTTTCTTAAGGAAGCTTCGGAAAGTGTCCAGGCCTCTACTCCGTATAATAGGTAGAAAATACATAGCATCTAATGAGAGAGATTTTGATAGCAAGTGGAATAATATTCAACGAACTTCATGCATAGACGACTTTCATGAGTATCCATGGATGATACCATGTCTGAAGTACCAAGGTATGTGTAGCTGTCCACTCTCTCAATTGGATGTTGGTTAACCAAAAGCTGTGTATTTAATATTTCGCGCTTACTGACTACCACGTACTTTGTTTTCTTCGTATTAAGATCAAGTCCGTGTTCTCTACTTATATGTAATATATGCGACATTATTCTTTGCAAACCGTCCAGACTATCTGCAAAAACTACTGCGTCGTGTAATCCAAAAAAAAGAAATTTTGTCAAGAATCGAACAAGCGAGGAAAACACTCATAAACATGAAAAACATTTTTACAACATCAGACCTTAGTCTAGAGCTCAGAATTCGAATGATCAGATGTTACGTTTTCTCTGTTTTGCTGTATGGCTGTTAAAGTTGGACAATAGACACTGAAACAGAAAAAAGAATAGATGCCTTTGAAATGTATATATACAGACGGATGTTGAGAATTCCATGGATACAAAAAGTTACCAATGGTGAGGTACTTCGGCGCATGAGTAAACAAGAAAAATTATTCAACATAATCAAAGAGAGAAAAATACAACACTTGGATAATGTGTTGAGAGGTGAAAGATATGAATTACTCCAAATCATATTGGAAGGTAAAGTGCAGGGCAAAAGATCAGTTGGAAGACGCCAGAACTCGTGGCTGAAAGACCTGAGAAGATGGTTTGACCGCTCATCCACAGAAATCTTTCGTGCAGCAGTTTCCAAAGCTACAATTGTCATTTATATCGCCAACCTTCGAAAGGAGACGGCGCAATAAGAAGAAGATAGCCCTTTTGAACGAAATCTAGAAGAATTGTTTAGGAACGTATTTCTCAATTTGGAAACATATACAACTATTTCTAAAGTTAGTTACTTTATTTAATCTTTTTTATGGTGTTCTGTGTCCGTAAAGTGAAGAAGAATGACGTGACTTGACAGATTTTATATATAGATATATAGTTTATGTATCTCAGTATACTGAAATCAGAAGTCAGAAAAGCGATACAGCAAGCCAAAAATAATAAAGCATCTGCACCAGATCAGATCCTTGCCGAGTTACTTAGATATTAGGGCGAGGAAAACATTACCTATTTAACTACCTTCTTTAATAAAATTTACAACAAAGGAATAATACCAGATGATTGGTTGGAGTCACTGTTTAAAACATTACCAAAGAAAAGCAGGCCCACCAAATGAAGCGATTTTAGACTAATCAGTTTGATGAGCCACACACTTAAGATACTTTTATGAATTATACAAAACCGAGTATTCCTTCTGTGTGAAAGTAGAATGGATAATAAGCAGTTTGGATTTAGAAATGGCCTAGAAATAGAGAGGCACTATTTTGTATGAGCATTCTCTTACAAAAAAGCTGTGAGTTCCGAAAGAACGTTTATGTTTGTTTCATCGACTTCGAGAAGGCATTACCGCGTACAATACGATACACTTTTCAATTGTCTGCGGCAGCAGGACTTGACCACTACCATATAATAGTGCTAAAATACTTATATTACAATCAAAAGACTGATATTTTTTGTACACACTTATGACAAGTCGAAAGAAAATGCAAAAAAGTATTTTTGAAGTGTGTATATTTTAGGCAATTCCTAGCTGAGCGCTTTCGGCTTTACAAAGCCATCATCAGAGCTATGGTCAATTTTTTAAATACCACTACAAAGGAGAGATCTCATTTCCTTATATTTCAAAATTATGATTTTTTTAGTTGTTGAAATTCTTAAAACATATAAAAAACATATAAAAAGCCGACACTGGACTTCACAAACACGTTAAAAAATTGAAAAAATTTTTGTCATGGTACGGGTGTAAGAACCCGACCATTGATTGATGTGAGGAGGTAGACAGAATATAATATAAGAATATTCCGTCTAACAGTGCCAGAAGCACATGGCTGATAAAATTAGAATATATGTATTTTTGTAGTACTAGATTACTAAATAAAGCTAAGTAATAAAAAAAGTGTTTAATTCACAAAACTATACTATTAGCTTTATGCGAAAGCACACACGGCCAAGTACCAATTATGTAAATTAGGCCGATGTTAATGTTAATAGGAAAGTCCGATATTTAAAAGCTAAAAAGCATTTAAGTTCCCTAAATATATGTAGAGCCGACGCAGAATCAGCTGTGCTTTTTTACAAATGTTACATCAGATCTATTCTGGACTCTGTATGTATACTTTATGGATCAGCAAGTAAACACATTTTAAATAAAATTGATGTATTTCAACGTATAAGCAAAGAATACGCTATATTCTTTGTTATAAATATATGCATGGGAGGAATGAATTCTACTCAAATAGCTCAATAGCTTTAAAGCCATGTCTAACAATAAGTATACCACCATTATTAGCAAGCTTGAAATTAACGACTATTTCTTATTTTTTTTATTAAGCTGACATACACATATCAACATATTTTATTACTTCATTATTAAACTCATGCAAGAACTGTAATCTATAGTTTATATATATTTCGAAAGTTTAAACAATATTGCAGCTTTAATAGTATCCGATTCATTGTCAGTCAAAAGCTCAAAGTTACCCAACTATAATTCTAATCCTTTCACCCAACTCCAAACCTCTCGATTCCATCGCTCTTCTAATTCCTTCATTCCATGAGCGTCGAGGTCTACCTCTTTTTCTTTTTCCAGGGGCTTCCATCTGTAAAGTTTTTGGGGCCAACGTTCGTCAGGCATTCTCAATAGGCGTCCAAACCATTTTAAACCTCTTCTTTCTATTCTGTCAATGACCGTTTCTGTAGCATTCATGTTGTTTCTTATAGATTCGTTGCTCTTTCTTTCCAGCCTTGATGTTCTAGCACTTCTTCTCAAATAATCCATTTCAAAGACCGAGTCTCATAACAGTTCATAAACTTACTAGGCAAACAAAACTTATTGATGTGGCGATACCAATACCAATATTTTAAATACAACAAAAAAATCACCACGAACAGAGATCTTCTTCTTAACGTGCCCTATCAAGTTCCCTTGACGTTGGCGATTAACATGGCGAAACTGTCTCTGTCTCGAGCTATTCTAAATAGTTGCTCAGCTTTCTGTATCAGAGATCTAGAAATACAAATTAGGAGACAATGGAAAATGAGAAGTACTCAGATAGTACCTATTATTTTATCTACTACTGGTTTTATTTCCAAAAACCTCCTAGAGAACATAAAACAGTTAGGTCTAAATGAACATCTCTATAAGGCCATGCACAAAGCTGTATTTCTCGCGATGTCCAGATGTATACGAAAATTTTTGGGAGATACTTAAGTATACCAAGTCACCTAGGGCTCGATAATACGGAAAGAGTCGTACCAGAGCTTAATCCTTTTGATACCGTAGGTATCTGAGATGAGCTAATTTTCCCCTTAGAGGGAGTGTGAGCCGTATGGCTAAATCTGGATAAAGGTTAATAATAAGCTATTATAAATATATATATATATATATATATATATATATATATATATATATATATATATATATATATATAATTTATATATATATATATATAATTTATATATATATATATATATATATATATATATATATATTATATATATATATATATATATATATATTATATATATGAACTAGAAGTATTTGCTGACAACAAGGAAGTAAATTTTCAATATTGGGTTTGCAGCAATAAAAATGATACGTGTACTCTTTTAAATTTTTATTCCGAGCTTTCGGACATGGTTATGTCCTTCATCAGGGAGAAACTTAATGAGGTTGGATCATCAATGATTTTCTACCATGTCGATAAAACTTATCACAGTCTGTCATATTTTTACATAAAACTTATTCCTATATTTAAAATGTGTTTAAGATTATAATTGATTGTATTAAGCAATTTTTAAAAATTTTAAATATAGGAATAAGTTTTATGTAATAATATGACAGACTGTGATAAGTTTTATCGACATGGTAGAAAATCATTGATGATCCAACCTCATTAAGTTTCTCCCTGATGAAGGACATAACCATGTCCGAAAGCTCGGAATAAAAATTTAAAAGAGTACACGTATCATTTTTATTGCTGCAAACCCAATATTGAAAATTTACTTATATATATATATATATATATATATATATATATATATATATATATATATATATATATATATATATATATATTTATATATATATATATATAAATAATGAGATTTTTAGTAAGTCGCAAAAATACATCCATACATGCAACATGCAACACCGTATACATGTATAGTATACAATTCATTGTATATACGTACTTTGATTCTGATTTTGAAAACAGAACATATATACTTTATTAAAAGGGACTTAGTGATGTATCTACGTAAGTTGAGAAAATGTTTAAGTGACAGTTTTCTCATGGTTTTGTTCGATATAATAATAGCAACAATAGTACAATAGTAGATAGTGTTAAAAGATCACCCATTCAAATAATCTTCATTTTGCAAAACGTTGGATTTAATCTATAATGTGAAATGGCTCCTTGTGTCTGATGACTTTTTTTCTACAAAAAATTTACAGTAATTCTGCATACGTAGTAACGTAATATTATACTTTAGGTATTGTCGATGCAGCAAGTGTCACTGCCGCGGTTGTTCATAATTTTAATAATGATTTAGCGTTTTATTTAAATTAAATGGTGCTGTTGCCTTGCTGAGGTCAGGTATGTATTCAGCATGCGTGAAAGCGTGAGATGTCTTGTGCCGCTTAGCAGTACTTGCCGTTGTGGTTATTCCTCTGTTTTCTAAAGATCAGGCGGAACTGCAGCTATGCTAGTATTGGATAAGTGTGCAGCATTTGTGAAAATATAATCATTCTTATGTCGCTCTAGCAGCACATTTTCTATCATTATTCTTTAGTTTTTCGAAGACTTTTCGGCGGTTTTCTGAAAACTAAAATACGATGCATCTATTTTTGACCACTGATGTAAGTTCAGCATGCAAATATGCATCAAGAAAATATGTCTCTGTTCTTTAAAAAATCAATATTTTCTTTCACTCGACTGTGAAGAAGTGCGCTTGACCGTACACTGAGCACCTGAAGCTAATATCTTTAAAAGGCTGTAGCTTCAGAATAATAGTTTTTCAGACCTAGGTCCGATTGACTTTTTTAATCTACACACTGAGAACTATCTTTTACCGAACTTTCGTTTAATTCGAACTGGGCCGGTTTTCCATAAGGATAGTTGCGGGGTATTTTCTTAAATCTCATTAATATTTGTACTGTGACCGTGATTTCATAACTAATATTACAAATGAGATTAAAAAGGGTTACAATATGCTTCCCAATATCTAAAAACTGATCAAAGACAGCTAAATTATTATTTTACTATATTACTTTCATAAGTACTAGAAAAATAAACTATTTTAAAATAATTTCTCTGTCATCACATTTCTGACTACCAATTACTTTGTTTAGTTAAGTAGATATGTTAAAAATTGATATTAACATTTCGTAGTTTAGATCCGATATATAAGACCAGCGAATTGTCTAGGAATACTTACCTCCATCATCATAATCCACATCCTCGAAGGTGAAGCGTAGACCTACAACTAAAACATTTATAGTTAATATATTTTATATACGGATAATGTCATTTTTTCAATTAAATACGAGAATAAATTAATGGGTCGACTAATTTAAAGTCCTCCCAATGGTAACTAAAAGCGATAGTTTCACTGGTCTAACGTTTAGGAGATCATTAAAGCAGTGTGAATTCATACATTTCATAGATATTTAAAAAAATTCATAACATTTCAAAAAACATTAAAAACTTTAAAAGCCATTATTTTTTAAAGGTTTGATACTTTTGATGTATTCTCCCTATTCTTGTTCAGGTGTCCCCTCCGTTTCGAAGATTGGATGTCAAAATATTAATTTGATTTTTGGATACAGATGAACGAAATAGTTGATTGAAGCTGCAATCAAACCACTGTAAGTTTCGTGATCATGAAATGTTTTTTCTCACTATACATCTTTTTCCCACAATCTTTCCTTAGATGAGATTCTGCAGAAGCTGAGTTTTATACCCATGTTTAAGATGTTGCAATTTACACTTTTAATGATAAATAGTAGTACCCTTTTTTCTTCGTTCTTTTAAACACTTCCAAATTTGATATTTTATCCATTTGGCATTTTATTTGATATTTTGAGAATTATTCTATAATAATCCACATTTTGAATGATTCTATCTTATTTTAGCGATACTTATTCATTATCCAAGTTTCTACTCGTCAACTGGTCTGCTCATATCTCACACCTTAAGAAACAGCTATCAAGTTCATTATTTGTTATTCGCCAACTAGCAAGGGTTGTCAACTTTGAAACATTAAAAATGACATATTTTTCTTTATTTCACTCTCACCTAAACTATGGTTTAATTATATGGGGCAATTCAACAAATGCACTTCAAATTTTTAGAATACAAAAGAAAGCTGTCAGGATTTTAGCAGGGGTTAGTTATCTAGAACACTGCCGACCTTTCTTTATCAAATTCAAAATTATGCCGCTACCTACTCTGTTGATATTTCAAGTTTTAACTCAAATTCACAGAAAACGTGCCCATTTAATAAAGCAGTCTGATATCCATGTTCACAATACGCGAAACTGTCACTACCTACGAACAAATCGCTGTAGATTAAGTCTTGTAATTGACCTTCGTCATTTGCCATGTCCAGGAATGACAGTTACTCTTAATCTATCATTCAACAGTTGGCCGGCACACGTGGCCGTTGTAAACTTTTTAACTGTCTTTTTCTTATGTGTTAAAGTATAATAATTTATTAAGTTTGGTCTTTTACACCATGCAATTTTTATATTTTAATATTTTAAATTTTGACTCAATCAATGAGTGGTGCGTAAAATTGTCACCTGTAAGTGAAACATCCACGAAAGACGAACCTCACTAACTTTTTCCTGATGATGAAAATAAACATTTTCGAAAGCTTGAAACTTAGTTAAAAGAGTACACTTATTTCACCGCTGAATAAATTCCAATAAACCTCAAAGCTCTATATATATATATATATATTATATATATATATATAATATATATATATATATATATATATATTATATATATATATATTGATCCAACTTGTAAATACTATACATCTTGGGGACGGCTATCGCCGTATTCCCGTTCTCCTCCGTCAACCCTCCGGTCCAAGGCCTTCTCCTCCAACCTCTTCTTTCTATTTTGTCAATGACCGTTTCTGTAGCATTAATGTTATTTCTTATATATTCGTTGATCTTCCTTTCCAGCCTTAATGTTCCAGCACTTCTTCTCAAATAATCCATTTCAACTGCCAACAATCTTCTCTTCAGGTCTGCATTAATTGTCCATACTTCAGAGCCGTAACAAAGAACTGATTCAACCATGATTTGCCCTATTCTTTTTTTGTTCCTTTTGGAAATATTGCGATCCCACCATAAGGAGTTCAGACATTCTACAATTTTACGTCCCTGATTAATTCGGTATTTAATTTCGATTTCTTCTAAGCCGTTTTTATCAATGAGTGCAGCTAAATATTTAAATTTTTCCACTTGTTTGATTTCCACGTCCTCACCTCCTTCTGAATTGATAACTAAATATTCTGTTTTCTTCATGCTGACTGTAACCCCCATTTTACATATTTCCTATATAGACATCATCATCATTATCATTATGGCTTTACAATCCTGCGTGGATCCTAGCCTCCTCAAGAATTTCTCTCCAGTCGTCCTATCCATCGCTTTCTGCGCCAAGCACGTATTTCTATATTTCTCATGTCTCAATAGATATTATGAAGGAACCTTGTTTTGGGTCTTCCTCTTCTTTTCTGACCAATGGGTCTCTGTATAGACGCTTTATCATAAATTCTAGATCATAAGAATCTTGAGCTAGGACGACTTGGTTATCTGCAAAGTTCAGGGAGAACAGTACGTCATTTCCTATGGGAATTCCCATTCCCTGGCAGTGGTTTTTCCAATTTTGCAAGGCTGCCTTAATATATAAATTAAACAGTAAGGGTTAATCCTTACCCTTACTGGAATAAAGTTAATATCTTCTTCTTCTTTTGGGTGCCGTCTTCAATGAAGGTTGGCGATAACCTCAGCAAAATCATTTCTGTCCCTGGCTTTTCTTATTAAAGATTGAGAATCCAAACCAGTCCACTCACGAATGTTCTTCAACCAGGACGCCTGCCGTCTACCAGGACCACGTTTTCCTTCTACCTTCCCCTCTATAAGAAGCTGCAGTAGCTGGTATTTCTCATTTCTGTATATGTGTCCCAAATATGAGGTTTTCCGTGTTTTCATTATTTTTAAGAGTTCTCTGTCGGTACCCATCTTGTGTAGGACCTGCTCGTTGCTCATATGCGCTGTCCAGGGGACTTTCAGCATCCTTCGAAATAACCACATTTCAAAACTTTCCAAACGCCTTAGTGAGTTGATTTTGAAGGTCCAGGCCTCCATTCCATATAGTAAGGTGCTGTAAACGTAACATTTCAGCATTCGGTATCGGATTTTGAGATTGAGTGTTTGGGACGTAAACATTTGTTTCATTTTTAAAAAGACATTTCTTGCTTGTTCAATTCGCGATTTTATTTCTATGTCTGGATCTATATCTTTCGTTATCCAGCACCCTAGATATCGAAATTTCTCGACATTTTCGATAATGTTACCATTCACGTTTAAAGCCATGGGTGGATGGATGGATGTTTTGGAGGTTTTTGGATATAATAATTAGATTAACTTGTATTAAAAATTATTTGAGAAGCGTCGGTCGACCACCTACAAGATGGACTGACGATTTAAGAAGACTCAATAAAAACTGGATAAGAGTGGCGCAATATAGACGGGGTTGGAAACATGAGGAAGAGGCCTATGTTCAGCAGTGGACTCTTGAGGCTGGATGATGATGATGATTAAAAATTATTGCTATACCATGTCTGGGATAGTTGTTGTTTTTTACCGAGGAATAAATTTTTTGATCATTTCCTATATGCTATTGTTCTGTATCAGGCAATCCTGTTTCACTAACTCCTAGGATGTCGATATCTTATCCATTAATTTTCTCGATAATATTTTGAGTTTTACACTTCATACATACTACATATGTTCCATATTTCCATTTTTGTGTGCATTTCTGTAATCATTGCCCCATTATTTGATCTTCACAGGATGTTTGTTGTTTCACAGGGATTTGGTTGATGACTTTACGCTTTCTTTTTTCTTTTATAAGTTAGTTTTTTTTCGGCCGAGGTCGGTAATTGTCATTGTATAATTTTTGCTAAGTGGTTTCACATTGCACAATGGTGTCTTTCGACATTTTCTCATAATCAGAAATACATTTTAAGCCTGAATATATAATTTAAATAAAGGTATGCTAGATTTAAAAACTAACACTTACCTGAAACCCCCGGAGTGTCTACTGACTCTGCAAAAAAAAACAAATGGATAATATATTTAGTTAACAAACAAAAACAACATATATTTTGTCTTTAAAATTAAATTATTTCGATCGATAAGTTAGAATGTGCACAGACACTAAAACATTAGCCAAGTAGTTATGTACTCACTTGATGCATCTACAGTATTAACAGAGCTTGTGTCATTGGGTTTCACCACCACCAGAGAACTGACATCAGTGACAAAAGAGTACTTTAGAGCAAGATCCAAAGCCTCCTTTGTAAGTTGTGTTTTATTTGCGACTGTTTCCCTTTCTTCAAGCTTCTGTTTTACTGTAAGATATGCCCAAAGGCGTTCAAGAGAAGACACTGGTGTTTCGACTTTGGTTGGCACTGAGATGGATCCGTCAATTCCAGAACCTTCAACTGTACCACTGAATGCTCCTAAAATATAAATAAAACATTTAAATTTCTTGATAGTTAGAACGAAACATTAATAAGTAATTTTAATAAATATATTATATATATATATTATATATATATATATAATATATATATATTGCTATCTTCCTGTTTGAAATAAAAAATAAAATAAAAATTTCATCTTCATAGACCACGATCATGTAAATTTTCAATGCCCTGTGTATGAGAAAATTTGTAAAAATAATTATAGCTAGTCTTAAGAAAGTGTTTTCGCCGAAATATGAATGTTTGGTAAGGCGTCACAATAATAAGAGATTATTCGGATAGACATTTAGAGGGTGGAAAATCCAGTAAGTATATATTTCAAGAGCGATATTGTATAAAGTAGACAGCTTTTAAAATATTCTTTTGTATTAGTTTCTTAAAAATAGATAACACAATTTTTGGAAAGTGTAGAATTAAGTTGTGGTTATAAAGTGGTTACAAAGGTATAAGGAATTTTATTTATTCTTAGAACTCCAGAAAGAACAAGCAAATACGAAAGTTTGAGAATTGCTTTAGAATTACAAGAGAGGTTGAATTTGGTAAATTATATGGTATGGTTGAAAGTTTTTTTTTGATTGGATGAAAAATAATGATGGAAGGTGAGAACGAGCCAATGTCTGGAATGAATGAGTGGATTTTGGCAGTTGTGTTTGTTCGATCGAAAGGAGAAGTCGTTTGAACCGTGTATTGAAAAGTACGCAGGTTGTGTTAAAGTACAAGTTATTACTGAAACCTTGAAAGCTGATGTGCCATTGTGTAATAACGAGAAGTGTTAATTTGTGCACGAGTCGATAAAGAGATTCTGGTCATAAAAGTAGAATGATCAAGAAAGGTGAGCTTGACGAGAGATAGGCGATGTGGAACAGTAACAAGGAGAGCAGAATTTGCAGAGTAGCAGAAACACATTGTTGGGAACGTGGACGAGTTCTTTTGGTTACAACACAATCCAGGAAGGAAAAATTTTACGTGTGCATACATTGTCGATTTATCAGCAAAGGTCAGTCGTTTCATTCTGTGACATGAATGTATGGGTGATTCGTATTAAATACCATATTGCATATTAAATTTCATAAAATTTCATTATTATAAAGTTATCCAAATTCAATAAGATATAACACTAAACTTGCAGTGAGACATCAATATATGGTTGACATATTTAAATTTAAATTATAATGCGACCTTAGGTGGATGACAATGGTTGTAAATGTTAATACTTAAAGAGTTAGACTTGAACACGTGGTTCAAGTCTAACGATTTGGGACCGCTTCATGTTTTTGTTGAACATTTAGAATTAAATATTGGGAGATTAAATCCAATGAAATTGGGTGAAAAGTTAATAAATTTAAAAGAGTATGATAAAAATATTATTGAAATTAGTACGGTTGGTCGCAATCGTATAAAAATCGAACTAAATTCGGGCAGTATTGCCAATAAATTAGTTAAAGATCCATTCTTTGAAAAGAATAATTTACTTGAATATATTCCGGGCCATCTTATAGAAAAACGCGGGTTAGTGCGTTCAGTTGATACTTCCTACAGCGAGGAGGCCCTCCTATAAATGATTAATTCTAGTGTACCTATTAAAAAAGTAAAACGCATGACTAGAGTTAACCAAAAAGAGTAACAATATGGAACGTGTTTCTCGTCAAATAATCATTGTTACATTTGAAGGAAAACTTATTCTTCAATTTATTTATATTAATAAAGTTAGATGCCCTGTAGAAACTTATATTAATCCAGTTATGCAGTGTTTTCGTTGTCTCCGATACGGCCATTCAGGCTCACAGTGTAGAGGAAAGAAAATGTGTAGAAATTGCGGGTCAGAAAATGAATCTGTGTGGAAAGCATACAACATTTTTTGTGTTTATTGCAAAAATAATATTCACAATTCTACTTATAAGGAGTGTTTAGAATTTAAAAAGCAAAGTAGAATCAAAGAAGCTATGTCTAATTTGAATATATCTTTCAAAGAAGCTGAAAAAATTATTAACAATCCGGCCTATTCTAGCCTCATACAAAAAAGTAAATTTGCTGCATTAATTGATTCAGCTATAGAATTTCCTGCTTTAAAACCTTCTACAGCACAACATCCTGTTCGTAATACTTCTTCTAAATCGAACTTTAGGTCAACACATGATCAACCATCTTCTCCTAAACCCTTGCCAAAAAAAAAGAAAGACTAGTGATTCTTCTCCCAATTTCCCATCCATTAAAAGAGAATATAATACTAGCTTTTGTGCAGGACCGGTCTACCAGTTTAGAAAAGAGGCGCAAAATTATTTTTCAATACTTAAACATCAATTAATTACCATGTTAACAAGTTTTTTTCACCAATTTTTACAGAATCCATTATTAAATAGTAGTTTAGTAAATTTTGAAGATATAGAGTTTGAAAATAAAATTAAAAACATGTTGATAATATATTTAAAACCTAACAAAACAAAAAAAAACTCAAGGATACCCTTTAAACAAAATCTTAAGGTTATTCAGTGGAAAGATCTCTAAAAGCCAACAAAAATTCTTTTTACCAAATTTTAATTGAGGAAAAGTTTGATATTGCAATAATTTCTGAAACATTTCACAAGTATTTCCCCTCCTGGCCGTAGATCTCACAATTGCTTCATCTAAGGTATGTCCTACACTTGGTCGGTCTGTTAGTCAGGACACGTATGGATCAAATCATTACCCAATCAGTATTACGCTTAATACCTGTTATCACAATGATGCAATCACGTCTCCATTAAATAGATGGCCTATGAATGAAGCAAATTGGACCTTATATACAGCTGAAATAAAGAAATCATTTTACACGCCACCAAACTGCATCGATACCAACGGTATGTGTATATTTTTAATGGAACAGATTACGAATGCTGCGAACAAAACTTGCAAAATTCTAAGAACATCCTGAAATATATCATTTAAATCACTTAAATGGTAGAACGAGAAGTGCCGTGAGATATCGAATAAGAGAAAAATTGCATGCAAAAGGTACAAACAAAATATGTGTCAGGCAAACTTTGTTGAATATTAAAAAATAAATGCTAAATGTAAACGAACTGAAATATGGGATAGAATTAAGAAAATTAAAAAAAATATAAAAATCTGTATGTGCACGAAGAAAATATCGTTGAAAATTTGTTTCATAAAATAGCTCCTTGCTATGTTCCTTCTCCAATATATCCCACTGAAGATACATTTAAATCACATTTTTTGTCATCTCCTATTCGTATCAATGAACTAACTGCTAATATCAAGTATTCTAAGATATCCTCCCCTTATGATATATAACTTGCCTACAATAGCACTTCAATTTCTCCTGATATTTTTAACAATATTCTAATTACTGGTGATAACTATGATTCTTTAAAGCAGTGTCTTGTAATACCTATCCCACAAGCTAATTATCCCAATGTCCTAAGACCGATATCTCTTATGTCATGTACATGGACGTATAAACATAGATGGATACAGCAATAAGATACCTTTAACACACAATGTTTTGAAGCTTAGATAGAATGTGATGCTTCCGCAATGAGCATAAGCGTGCTTGAATTTTTACTCGCGGGTAATTATTCAGATTTTAAAAATTGGAAGTAGTAATAATGTATAAAAACACGTTCAAAGAATTAAAAAAAAACGAGAGTTTAACTATTAACAAATCACGTCTTTATAGAAAAATTAAAATACAATTTTATTTGCTTTAAAATTAATACAATTAAATATAGTTGAATTCAAGTTAATTTTTTAATAGTATCAAAATAATGCTACAATAAAAAATCTTTATGTTTTCTCCTTAATTTGCTACCCAAATAGTTCGATCGTCAATATTATTTGGAAACCTACATAGAAAAATAAATAAGTTTTATTCATTTCACTAATTTATTTGTATCCATGAGAAATATTAAATTAAAAAGGTACTAAACAGATCTTTTTTAATCAGATGATGTCTACTTACAATTTATAAATGTCTATGCATATCTTATTCAATACATTAATGAACATGAATAAACCCAATGGTACGCCTATTAAAATGTAAACAAACACGCTTCCTCATTTCCTCATCTTAAATAATGTAAATTGTATGTACTTACAAATGAAATGAGAGATCGGGATGTAAATATTTCGTTTATTTTATTTCACTTTTCACAAATATCACTCAAAATACAGCCAAAATATCGAAAAATAACTTTTTCCTCATTTACTGTTAAAAGTAAACAAACATGGAACAGCATTTGAAGTTTGACGTAGATCCATAAGACAGAGAAATGTAAACAACCGTTGCCATTTATAAATAGTTTTCAGTGCTTCTACATATAAAATAATTGATTGATATTATTATACGCTATTATTAAATGATAATGCACACTATGTGCACACATGATATTTTGATTACAATTAAATATATTAATATAACCAATAAATTATTATTTTGGTTTGATAGCACCTGTAGAGTATAAAATACGGAGTAATATTTTCAGCGACTCGCGAATAAGAAATTTTAAAACAAAACGTGACAACAGTTGAAGGTGCTCAGAATGTGACTTATTCAAATAATTTTGACTTCACAATTTTATGTAAATAACTGAGTCCATCTGTGTTTATACGTCCATGGTCATGTATACTGAAAACATTTGAACGAATCATGAAAAATCGATTAGAATGATGGATGGAAAGTAACAACCTTTACCTAGACGGTCAGCTTGGGTTTCGTAAAGGGAAAGGAACTATGGATTGCATTTTACACTTAGCAACCGATATCCAGTTAACTTATTCTAAAAACCAATAAACAGCTGCTTTATTTGTGGACATTTCTGGTGCATATGATAACGTTATTCTCGACCTTTTGCTTGATCAACCTGTTAAATTAGGTGTGCCTAGTAAATGTGCTTATGTCCTAGTCAATCTATTTACAAATAGACAAGTCCATATTCGTTTAAATAATTCACTGATTGGTCCAATGATAGTTAACAAAG